TCTCTCTCTCTCTCTCACTAGCTTGCCAGCCAGCCAGCCTTCTCCCCCAACCTGTCTCTGTCTCCGTTTCTATTTCTGTCTAAAAGTCTTCCAACCCTCGCGGTTTCCTTGGACCTCACTGCCTCTGTCTCTCGTCTCTCAACTCACCTGCGAGGAGGAGATTGAGATGTCATTCCCGTCCGGCAGGCTCAAAAACCTTCATCGCACATCAGCACACTCGGCCGAAATGACAGGCGGCAAGGCACACACGTCTGAAACAGCACCACCGCTACAGCATCGTTGATCACGCTCTCCCCGAACACAATGGAGTACAACTGTGTATCGACGTCTAGAGATCCCATCACTGCCAGCGTGCCTGTCGACACGAGTCACTCTGGAGCCTTAGGGAAACATGTAAGAATCTCAACCGATCGGGTCAGTAGCGCTCATCATACTACCAAACAACAACCCTTCCTTAGGGTTCTGGCCGTTGATGCCCTTGATGTAGTTTTCCTTGGCCAAGAAAAACAGCCCTGCGTTGATGCGCAGACCTTAACAAGAGCACGCGAATAAATCGAGCAACAAACCCAATCCAAGGATGAAGGTAGAAAGCAGAGTCCCACACACAGCCAGCGTGCAGATCGCAGCGAAGTTCTTGAAAAAGTCTTTCTGATTGAGAGCGAAACTGCTTCAATGTCATCGCAGAAGACACAGGGGAGCAAGATCCCACCCTGCTTCAAAGAGGATGGGAGGCACGAGGAATAAGAAGAAAACAGTGTCGAAGGACCCTGAAGGTAATCCCGATCAACAGCCCCGCACGTTCAAGTGGAAGCTTGCACCATGTATGGACGAGTAGTTCTCTCCACACAGAGGAAGTGAGGCCAGAAATCCCAGGGAGATTGCGATCAGAGAATCATTCGTGTACCTGCACTCCCGTTATCAAACAATCCATCCACCCTCTCTCCTCACCAGTAGTCATTGTTCAATTTCTGGTTAGGAGACAATTTTCGTGCATCGCATCACAATCAGCACAGAGATTTGATGCACAGGACCATGGGTTCAGCACCTGCGCCAGGTTCCCCAGGATCGTTGATAGGAGCACAAGGGAAGTAAATCCAGCCGTCACCTGCCAACCATTCTCATGACCTCCTCGTGCCATCCCCATCGCGGACCTTGCTCGTGTTGATATCAATCACATCGTCACCTCCAGGGGCTGGTGTTGCTCCGGGCGTTTGTTGCAGCCAATCAAGCATAGGTTGTGCAGAGAGAGACAAAAAGACAGTGAAGTTTCTCAAGGTACTACCCTGCACCCTGCGTGCCCATGTGTCAGGGATTACGACTATTTGCTGGTCTGGAGGCGGGAGCCAAGGCATTCGCAAATGTGAAAGGGAGAATCATCTTTCAAAGTATAGATCACACACAATCATATCAAGAGTTATTGTGATCTTTCCTGTGCAATCGATTTGTTGGAACACACACATAGCAATGGTACTTCCATTGATAAGATATTCCACGCACAGCTACTCGATGAGTTTGTCTTTCAACGGGTACGGATCTGAAATGTTTTTCAAGATTGCTCCTTGTATCATTGCCTTCGTCTTCTTTCCTACCGGGACATCGGTATATCTCGCTATGCTCTCGTTCCCTGTACTTCTCTTTCACCCTAAATTCGCTGCTCTTCCTCCCTTCGAACCTCTCTTTAATGTATGTTTCTATCCTCATTCTTCTTTGAATGTGTCATTCTGCCTCTGCAGTTTCAGAATCTCCTCGCGTCTCTACCCACCACCGACACACTCCCTGAGGACCTTGCATTGATTCCGTCCCACCAAAGCAGAGCACCCCTACCCCCATCGCCCCCCAAAACGACGATCCCCTACATCCTTTCCCACACCCCACCCCTGGGATGCCCAGTTCTAACATTCTTCGACTCTTTTCAGTACACAGAATCAATAGTTTTATTTTGAAAATAGAACTATAATTTATTTCTCATATTCAATGTACCCACCATTCGAGACATGATTTATCAAGACCACCACTACTTCAATGACCCCACCCCCTCATTTCCCTACGTCTGCTCATACGGAAACTGGTGCCTCATCCCCTCCTGCACCCGGCGAAAGATTGTACCTGTGACCACATCCCCGCGCACAATTGAAATTTGACTCAAACAATTTCAAGCTCGCCTCAGGGTTTCCAGTACACAGAAATGGCTTCCTGGCAGCAGCGGAAAGCTGAATCATCCTGTCTTGAACACCACACCCACGACTATGGCCAGTATGAAACAATTCCTCTTGTAGAGAGAATTGATTCTATTCGCTTCCAACTGCAACTGGATCGGACAGTCTCGATGAATGAGGTGATTCGTCAAGGGTACTCTCTTCTTGATGAGCCCGTTTGCGACACTACACCGTTATTCATCAGGGTGAACAAGCTGTATTGCACTTTGTGTCCTACCACTGCTTCCAGGCGGCTTGCAAAACCACGTGACCTCCTGCATACTTCAGATTCTACTGCCAAACCCTCGGGGTCACCCCTTGGAGTCGCCGAAAGCAGGCCCTCCGCCTTATTGACGCCGACAACAGACATTATCGTTCATGATACTGCTTCCATGGGTCATGAAAAACCTCGTGACGTTCAGCAGCAGATGTCAGCATCGACTGCTGGCTCCCCGGAAATCACATTCTCCGACGGTTCCTCCTCGATCTTCAACGATCACCCTGAGTGCTCATCTCCTTCTGGTCGGCACAGCACGGCGGATTCAGGGCAGGGTGTTGACGCAGTTTCCCAAGGCAGCCTGCTTCTGAATCATGCTGACTTGTTCACCGGCAAGGTATGGGAGAGTAGGCAACAATGCACTGCTTACATCAAAGGTGTAAACTTCGAGTTCTGCAACAGAGGGGTTCGTTGCATTCCAAATTTTCAGGCGCTCTTTGAAACATATACCCTACAGTGCCTTTCGCCCAAGTGCAGGTAAATTTCCACCGTCCTTCATTGCAAAAGCTTGACCAACATGGCACCACCTTTGCAGATACAGAGTCGTAGTGAAAAAATCGCGCAGTACAGTACCTCTTTTCACTGTCAACATTCAAGATAGCCATCTGCAGCACGATGAGTACATGTGCACGTTCTCTGGCAAAGCTTCTGTGAAGTTCCTGCTTGAATTCCATCCCTTTCGAGAAATGATCTCAATGTCATCTGGAAGCACAAGTGGTGGTAGCAAGAGAATGACGGTGAAGGAACTATTGCGTCAGCTCAAAGCATCCCATGGTATTGATTCCTCCCCTGCCAACGTTTCGAAAGCACGGTATCTCCTCGAATATGGTACTTGGGAACAGTACGAAGAAACCTTCAAAATCTTACCGAATTCTTCAAGTGATAAAAGCTTTCGAGGAGCTTTCCAAGCAAACGGTGCCATACTTCGCATGCCATCGCACGGGGAAAAAGGCAAGGAAATCTCAAAAAGACAAGGATCGAAAAGAAAACGGGTCCATGATGGCAAACAAGTTGTCCTTCGCAACGAAGAAGGAACGATCCGACTTCAAGGGGAAGCAGTGCCAGGGTTTGTGGATGGCAAATTTTACACAGTCAATGGAAACTTGAAGAAGACGTGTAAAAGATGTAAAGCTATCGGACATAACAAGCGTTCGTGCATAACAGACGATGCTGAGATCTCTTGACTGGCAATGACGGTATGCCGACAGCAGAATGCGCATATCTGCAGGAAATATTCATTGGATTGGATCCCGTGGTGGTAAACCAAGTGAAGACCATGGTCTCTTCGGGCAAACACAAGATTTCCAAGACGGACATGACATCGGAAGACCTGGATGCAGTGATGGATGGCAGATGGTTGAAAGGAGACATCATAGATGCATTTTTGTGCGTCATCGAGGCACGACAGGCATCAGGAATCAGGGTGCACTGCTGTGGGACATACTTGTACACCAAATTGATTCAGGAAATCGCCCACTCTGGAGATGCAGATAAGGTGCGCGAACAAAGTGACGTGCCGGTGATGATTGGAGTATGCCAGATCACATCCTTGCAGGTGACAAATTCCATGCACGCTGATTGCCGCAAGTGGATGAATCATATATGGTGGCCAACCACGGACATCGTGTTGATTCCTATATTCTCTGTGCAACTGGCGAGCAGGATGGAAGGTGACGTTAGAGGCAGCGAACTCCCAAGTAAGGAGAGAAGGGGAGGAGTACTCCGAGAACAGGAGCATTGGGGTCTCGTTGCCATAGATCTGAGATCAGCTTGTCATGTGGCAATCACGTAATGAAACTATCACTGAGCAGCAACATAGAGTATCATTGATTGTTGTTACCAGGTTATATGACTCTATGAAAGTCATGCACAAGGATTGTACCAAGGACATAGAAAGTGAGACATGTATGTTGTACGCATCGGATTGTCGCTGATGCAAGTACGTGCAACGCGCAGGTTTTGTGGTAATGGAATGGCAGCGTCAAATGAATGAAGCTGAATCTACCGGAAACCAGCTATTGGCAGCATGGATGAAACTGAAACTGAGTGTTGAGTGGAAACATGAGTACTCGTTTACGTCAGATAAGGTGACAAGCTGAGTTGCCGAATGGCGAGTTGTACACACTGATCCCGGACACAGGTACCGCAACAGTCAGACGGATCGTCGTGCGGAGTATTTGTATGTGCGATAGCGGATTGTATAGCATCGGGCCGCAACCCAGCGACGAGTTTTTGTCAGAAGGATATACCTAACATTCGCATGCGAATAGGCAGTCTGCTGAGAGAAGTGTATCGTAGCGGTGGCGGTGCAAGTATACAGTGAAACGCAACTTGACGCAAGCAAGAAATTTCGATCATAGTTTGACGGGCCCATCGATGTCAGAGGAGAGTCTGTCAAGTTTTCTCTCACAAGTCAATCATGTGGAATGGAGGCTGAGCAAGAATATAGAGGAGGGTGGGGTGATTATCATAGAAAATAGGGGGTATCCGAAACTGGGGGTAGTGCTGGTTACGTGTTGCGGACGTAGAAGGGGACAGGGGTGGGGGTCCTACTTTTTCATACCAATTTACTGGACAACCAGGGGTAGGCTAGCGGGAGTTGGCTTTTGGCGGAGAAAGGGGGGTGGGGGGTTGCATTACCTGGATCAAAGGGGCGGATACAAAATGGGCGAGCTATGAGCTGGGAGGGAGGGATCTACAGGGAGGAGTGGGCGGAGCAGGAGCAGGCAGACAGGCGGGAAGCAAGGCACAAAACCAATTCTTGAAGAGATAGAAAGGACGCGAAACAGGAAGAAAAGATCAAGGCCGTCTTTGATCAGTCTTGATGCTTCACAGAAATGTGTTTTATCCTACCGAGAGAAATACATGCCCTTGATTTTCCTTGCTTTGACGGAATTGTTTCAGAGTCAATCATGTCGGATGCTCCAATGGATCCTTCTCCTTCAGGAGGAAACTCAGCTCTTCTATTCCTGACAAGTAACTAGTCAATGTGTGTGTTTGACGTTGTCTTGATATAGGCTTGTCCAATGTTTTTGTATCAGATTCTAGGTCAACTTGTTTGTGCAGACTTTCCCCCTTCTTGTAGTTGCGATATCATGCTGATTTGCACCTTAGGTCCCATCCTCAAGTTTCTTGTGGATCGTCAGCAAGCTGATCAAGGTGTAGCGGGCATACTGCGACTTGAAACCTTACATGGCTCACTGCAGCCAATACCCACCAAAGCCAAGAGGATAAAAAGATAGTGTTCTGGCCTTTTGCAGTGGCTGGTGGTGTGCTCTTTGGCCTTGGAATCTACGGCAAGCAGAAGCCCCGTGTTTGAATAAGATTGTTTGACTTCAATCGCAGGAGGACATGCTTTTATGAGCGGAAAGATCAATTCTTCAGCAGCCGAAAGCGAAGCTCCGGTCGCTAGCCACAAGGTACTTCATTGCTACCCTAAGAAAGCCCTGTAACCGGCCATGTTCACATGGTATAGAAACTGAACTTCCAGTCCAAACTTGCTGAAAAGCCGATTAGTCCTGAAAACCGTCGGTTGGCTCTCCGAACAGCCTCTGCCGCGTGAGCGAATTATCTTTTACCATAATCCTATTCCTCTCTTACTTTCGAAAAGGCTTGGTCTTGGCACCCTCCTCGCTTGTAGTGGCGCATTTGTCTGTGTCAAGCTCACGTACTGGTACCTTGGCATCAATAATGCACAGGATTTTGCCGCATACATGCGAAGGTGAATGCTTTCATATTTCTCTATGCGAACGTCTCCTCTTGTGACGATTCTCGACGTCCAGCCGTCTGCCGTCTCAGCTAGGACAAGTAACATCATACACGAAGATAGTGGAGAAGAAAGAGTCCCTCACTACCTGGTTCAGAGAAGGTCAGACAAGTCTAAGCCTTCGTGCTGCGGTGATGTGCATCGTAGTTGACTTATTGTCAGAGCTAGGAATGGGAAAGTATCTGGATGATAAAGAATGTCAGAGGAGAGTCAATGAAGCAAAGGTAATGCACGGGGAGGAGGGGCAACCAGATCCTTTGCAGCTGCTTGGTATGGTGATGCTGTTGTGCAGGCCATACATAAAAAGGGGCTCATCACTGAGCGAGAACTGGAGATTGAGATATCAAAAATCATGTTGAAGCAGGATGCATGAAAAAACGGTTTCCGATTGAGGGGATCACGATGCTCGACTAGGTTTATAGTGATCGGAAAAATGAGGAGCGTGACATGGCCCTTCCCTTCAAGGCTTGGATTGCTGGACTACAGACTTTGGCAGGATCCCCCGGCCGCCGATCGCAAAGTGGGAAGTGGTTGGCAACCTCGGCTCCTCGGATTGTCGCGGTAGTGACGTGGGCCCGCTCTTCCGTCAGTGCGGGGAGTTGGCCTTGCAACACCGGACGGAACGCCCGGGCCATTGTTCCGAGGCTAATATTTCTGAGACTGCATCGCCGAATTCAAGTGTCCGATCCTGTGCATCATAATTGATTCAAGTGACTTCGATCGGATGCTGTAGACCGGCGAGCCGGGGGTTCACTCAGTCTCAGTCACGGGCCTGCCAGGCTGGGGACGGTGGCTTTACTAGCCGCCAATTGATCATCATCGGAACCTGACCGACCTGGAACTTGCGTGACCGTACACTTAAGTTAGAGTCGCTCAGCCTGCGTTTTACTTGTGCAACTTACATTCATGGAATGATTGAAATGTTTCTCGCTTCTGTATCCTGAAGAGTCTGACAGTGAGCCGCCTGAGCTGAGCCGCCGCCGTTCCAGTCACGGTAACATTTGGTCGGCACTTCAAGCAGTTCCTGATGATGGACCTGCTGCTGAGGTCTTGGCTCGCAAACTTGAACGCGCGGCCACCTCGGAGTACCAGCCGCTGAGCGCCTCACCGTATGGCTGGCAGCTGACGCTGGACTCGAGGCGCTCCTGTCTGGTGCGAGGCGCATGACTCCCTTACCGTGAAACTTGCCAGGTCGGACAGCCTGCCGGCACTGCGGCGCCGCGGTCATCCGATCGATGTCGCCGGGACAATTTCGTGATTTGGAACTCGGAGGCTGAAAATTGTATGGGGGATCGGAGAGTCGGAGACATTTTCAGATTTTCGCCTTGGGTAGTAATAAGTAGTACCACCCCACCCTTTCGACAGATTTACCTTAAGCACCCCCACTATCTATTCCTCAATATCTTCATGCACGGGTCCATTTGTATTCCAAGTACCTACCGCTTGAACCCTTTTGAGGACCCCTTCCTTTGATACTACCCCTGAAGTAGGACTCCGGTTTGTACCTAATCGACTTTCTTTACCACGAGCTGACAGCAGATGTACCCGAAAGTACTCCTTTTCACAATGACCACGAGAAGAAACAATGTTAAAAAATTCAAGAATTTACATAAAATTGTTTTAGAATCTATAGTATTTATTGAATTTCTACCATGATTCCTTCGGAGCCCGGAAAATCCCGCCTCCTTCAGTACGGCCTATATTGAAAAGTCTTTATATTAGTGGGACTGGTACATGGTGATTTGGCTCACCACGTATGTATTACTCCTTTTGTGGCAGCTCATTATAATCTGTACCCCACTTCGGGATTTGGAAGTCATTTACAAACTTTTATATCCTATATAATATTATTTTTCGTCTATACATGTTTGTTGAGTATTTGTATAATTGCATTTACGTAAAAAAGGTTGTCGGACGGACCCCGAACTCCTGCCGCAGCCTCCCCATCTCCACCATCGCTTCTCCCTCCTCTCCCCCCTCCCTTCCCTCCTCCCTCCTCCTCCTCCTCGTCGATCACTGCTCGATCGCTTTCTGAGTCGCTCCGTGTGAACTCCCATTGGACTCTGCTGTCCTGTTTGCTGTACTCGTTATCGACTTTGCAGCGAATTGAAGGACTGCTCGTAGACATAGTCGCATATCATTTCGAGACCCTTTAAGGGGCAGTCAACGCGGAAATTCCACAGTTTCAAGGACTAAATAATATTCGGACGTGTGTTTCGAGAATTTCCTACGCAGTGTATAGAACTCTTCAATCTTCTTCATACCAGATCGTTAATTGAACCTCACAAATAGAAACCTTACTTCGGACAAATAAGATGCAGAGCACAAACATATCTTTTCCTCCAGAATTTGTCAAAAAAGTCGGGCTTTCAAGATTGCCCAAAACTTCCTTGAATTTTGAAATCAATGTGATGGATCAGTGGGATTCATATCAGACTGAACGAGAGCAGCCACCGAGGAATGTGCAGAATTCTTCCATGGAGCTTTGCAAGTGTGGGAGCAGTACGATGTTATATGACGATTCTGATGATGAGCTGGAAAGTTGTGCGAGTATTTACAGAAAGCAGAAACTGTAGCAAAATATCTTCTCTTGATGCTGTTATAGGGGGTTGCCGCCATTGCAATATTCTTTCGAATGTCTATAGATTTTTTCTCATGTTGATAAAAGCACTTCTATCGTGGCTTGCGTTCAAGTCCATGTCTCCTAGACCTTTGTTCGTATTTCCTACAACTTCATCACAGCCCCTCTCCCTCTCAGTCGTCCCGAAGCCTCTGCAGAGGTTGCTTTCAAGTGAAGAAAACTCAAACAAGGTCATCGAATTGTTGAATTACTCGTTTCTCCCGCTTGCCCCTGGCTGCTTGTTACTCATTTTCCTCTCCTTCCCTAAGTCCCTCAGTCTTCTCAACTCTACGATATCGTCCACATCTCCTGTTTCCTTTCTCAGCCTCCTCCCCAGACCGCTCTTTCCCTTTCCCCTTTGCGCCGTCCACAGTTCCCCACTCCCCTCATCCGATCACCCGGATCCTCATCTCACCTCACCTCATCTCACCTCATCTCATCTCACCTCATCTCATCTCATCTCACCTCTCTTCTCCTCCGATCATGATGTATGGTTCCTCACGTACACCAGAACAAGTCATGAAGGCAGTACTAGCACTACTTGCGACGGCAGTGCCCGAACGCCTCTGTAGCGATTTCATAGCATCTTCGAAGTTTTAAATTAGACAGGGAATTTTCAGGAACTTGGGTTGAAAATGCCGCAAAGTATCCTATGCAATGCGAGGGGCGGCGATGACGCTGGCGGGCGGCCTGCATGGATCATGTGAAGATATGCTAACGCGTTTCCACCTCTACATGCTTTATCCTCATTCTTTTCAATTCCTTCCCTCTTCTCTCCCCTCCGTCATCCTCCTTTGCCCGTGCTGTCCTACTCCTTACTCCCATTTCTGCTATTTGCCATCCTTCTCCGTCCGTTCTACTACTTCTCCAAGGCATTTAATGATCTTTTCCTTCCACTGCCATTCACCAGCCTTTTTCTCCCTTTCTCTCCCAGCCCTTGTCTCGCAAGCTCCAATCCGTACGACCCTTTGTTCCCTCTTTCGCACACCGACAACCTCCAAGATACCCCCTGACCCTGCTCCATCTCGCATGGCAGCCTTTGAAGTCCTTCCCATTCATTAGGAAACTGATCTCTTCAACCTTGATCATCCATATCAGGCTTTTAGCCCTTCCTCCTCCATCCCTTCCCTCATCTGACCTCATACCCATTCGGTGCTCAGTGCTGCTTGACCCTGCCCTCGTCCTCTGCCGTCGACTATCGAGCCTGCCACAGGCAAGCAGCAAGAGGACAACCAGCTCGCCTGCGCTGAGAATGACCGGTGCTGCAAGCACGGCGAGGCCAGCGGATGACGTGTGGGGTGGCAGGAGGAGGCGACATGGCTTCGGGGGCGCCGAGGAGCAAGACATTCGAGAGACCATGTACGGAACAAGGACGGGGGGGGGAAGGGGGGAGGGTGGTGGGAGGGCAAGCGAGGGCGCTGACGGCGTGTGACAGTGATCGTCGGGGTGCTGGGATATCTGCAGCTGCTTCCCAGTAGGATGAGCGATGGAGCATGCGAGGGGGCTGACTGTGACGGCGTAACGCACCAGGAGCGACCGGACTGCGAGTGCTCAACGACAAGACGAGCGCGGGAAAAGCCGCGGGCGAGCAGGAGGGCGACCTGTCGGCTGCTCTGCGCCGGAGCATGACGACGCTGTACGGGAGGCATCTGTCAGGTATGGCGATAGGCTTGAGGGTGGTTGGGGATCCGGGCGGGCTGACAGAGGAGCAGAGGACGGGACCCAGCTCGACTACGGGGGGATGGCGGCGAGCGAAGAGTACGCGGGGTACAAGGCGCTGGCGGAAGGGCTGAGGGAGGTAGACACAAGGAGCATGGGAGAAGAGGAGCGGGTAGCCTTCTTCATCAACGTGTACAACTGCCTTGTGATCGACGCGATCATCTCTCTCGGGGAGCCCAAGGACCTGCTGTCGCGGCTGAGGATGTATGCGGAAGCCGCTTACAACATCGGGGGGGCGAACTTCTCCCTCAACGACATCGAGAACGGGGTGCTGAGAGGGAACCAGGTGATCGCCCATGCTGCATGCTTGGTGTACCGTGGTGCTGGAGGCGGCTGGGGGCTTGTGAGTCAGGGCGCCGTTGCGGGCTTGGTGTGGGAGTTGGCGTGGGAGAGGTCTAAGTCGTGCGCTCCTACCAGAGTCCGCCGACCATCAACCCCTTCGCTCAGGTGGGGCAGGGCAGTGGGGGAGGAAAGCGCGAGGCTGACTGGGAGGATGCAGAAGCCTTTCGGGGAGGGAGACGCCCGTGCGGGCATTGCGTGCAAGAAGCCAGGTAGAGAGAGTGCGAGGAGGGTCGAGGAGGGGGTACTAGGGGTACACGGAGGGAGCAAGAGGCAGGCAAAGAGGAGGGGTGGGGTGGGGGTGTCGGGGGCATGGCTGCTTTGGGAGAGGAGGTGACGGCTGTCACAACAGACCCCCGGATCCACTTCGCGCTCAACTGCGGGGCTAGAGGATGCCCGCCGATCAGGTTCTACCGAGGCGAAGAGCTGGACGCGATGCTGGACAAGGCGGCGAGGTCTTTCTGCAAGTCGATAGAGGTGAGCCGGGCTCCATGGCGAGGCAGGGGAGACGAGACTGGGAGGAGGCCTGAGGGGGAGCGGGAGAGGTGGAGATCAGGGAAGCGAGGGGTGATGACAGCTGACTGGGGGGATGCGATGGCAGGTGGACCAAGACAAGGGAGTGGTGTACATGTCTCAGATATTCAAATGGTGCCTCGAGCCTGTCGGGGACTGGTACCAACTCGTTGCTTGGCAGGTATGAGAACGACTTCCAGTCAGACTCGACCGACAAGCCTCCCGTTTCCACCTTGAGGTGTTTCTTGATACCAGCTGCCTGGCCTGGAAGCGCAAGCTGACGGCATCTGCTCTACTGTGACCGCTTAGGTTTGTCGAGAAGTACCTGGACGAGGATAAGAAGGATGCTCTCTCTCGCTTCCTCGAGTCTGGCAAGGTGGAGTATGCTTTCCTTCTGTTGTACTGTTCATCTCTGGCGCTGCTTCTACTTTGATCTCATCAGATCGTGCTCTGTGTGACATCCTGCAAAGGTTCCGGAGTTGAAATTTCAACCGTATGACTGGGGCCTTAACTCGAAGTGAAGTTGAACTTCTTCCTCAAGCCTCGCAGGATCCCTTACTGCATCCACTCCTTCACAACCTTGACGACTTCTGTCGGTTTCGTCAAGTGCGCGTAGTGAGCCCCTCCCGCCATCGTCGCTACTGTCAACCCCTTCGCCTGGCGGTAACGACACAAGAGCATGTACATGGAGACTATCCTGGCGCTGAAAGAAGCCTTCTCTGTGAAATTGATCCGTTTAGGGGCCCCCCGTATGACGGAGAAGATTCGTGTGACCCAGTATGCCAGAAAGACAAGGGTGCACCATCGCCTCGAGAAGGGCTGAAGTCCGAAAAAGAAGGCCTGCTGGAACAGACCATCACGAGCAATGAGCACCAGGTGAGGGCAGCGGATCGACTTGAGAATCTCCAGCACAAGAGCCTCCGAGCAGCGCAACCTCGGCACCATGATCTGAGGGTCTGCGGTCCACACGTAGCCCTTCCCATCCTCCAAGGCCCTGGCTCCTCTCGACACCAGCACCATGGCATCTTTGGGTTCCATCACCCCGATCATGTTCTGCTTCGCCCTGCGCTGTGCGCATGCCTCCAAGCTCTCGTAGGGAGTCCACTGTCGGGATCCTATCTTGGAGGAGCACATGGTTTTGAGAGCATCAAGCTGCTTCCTGCCTCCTTCCTGACTGTACCACCCGAACGACTCAAAGCCAACCACTTGAACAACTCGCTCAGGAGCAGCAGCAGCGATGGCCTGGGCGACGCAGCCACCGAGAGAATGGCCCATGAGCGAGAAGTTCGACCATCCGAGGAGCTCAGCCACTTGCAGGACATCCGCTACATGGTCGATGTCATGGTAGAAGCTGCGATGGTCCGATAGTCCATGGCCAGCACAATCCAGGCAGACGATGGAAGATGCTCCAGCAGACAAGAGCATCGGAGCTATTCGGTCGAACGATGCTGCGTTGTCAGCCCAACCATGGAGAGCGATCCAGAGCTTGCTGGGGTCCGTCATCTTCGTGTCTCCCCACACTCTTGCTGCAACATTGAAATCCTTCCTGAGCTTGAAGAACTTCTCCTCGGCTGCCACCATCCTTGGGGCCAGCCCATTCCTACCCCTCGCACGGGATGCCTTGACACAGGGGTATCCATGTGGCTGTGAGGATGGCGTGCACCGGAGGTTGATGTTGAAGCAGTCAGCTTGGAATGCAGACAAGAGGACGGGGGGGAGGAGAAGGAAGAGGGGGAGGGGGAGACATCGACTGTCCCGCATCTCCTTCGCTAGCGTCACTGGTGACTGCTGACCTTACCACGAGGCCATGGACCGTCTGACATTGTTGGGCCCGCCTCACTGGGAGGACAAGGAGACGGCGGCGTGGCCAGTGGGCCGCCGAGAGGGCCGCCGCCGGGCGGCGGGCCCTCAGCCGCGCCGTTCAAGTTCAACCGAATGACCCCGGCCACCAGGCGACACCCACCCCCGGGCCTGTCGTCGTCAGTCCGATCGGCCGGGTCACGTCACACGGCGACCGTACGGCAGAACTGGAAGTCCGGCGCGGCCCACTGACTCATCAGCCGCATGACTCAGGCTCGCCCGGAGTGCAGTGCCCGCCGATAAAGAAGAGGCCCGATCGGACCGTACGGTCACTGCGGCACCGGGCACCGTGTGGCCACTGGCACTGACACTAATCAGAAAGCGCAAAGGTTTCACTCTGAGGCGGTTTGGACAAGTCGTTAATGATCCCTCTTGCCCTACCCCACCAACCCGCGCCTTTCCACCTCCCCCCACCTCCCGTCCTCTACTACCCCCCACTACATCCACCCGACCCCTCTACCCCTCCCCCCACCTCACCCTCGTTCTGTCCACAGACAGCCCCGCCGACGACCATGTTCTCGCGATGTTGGCATTGCAAGGCAAGCGAGGAGCGAGGAGGCGCCTCTGTTGTTGTGCTTGTTGCATCGGATCTTCTGACTCGGTACTCATCAGATTCACATGGTTCCTGGCACCGGAGATCGCTCGAAATGCGTACGATTGATTGATTCATCTTTGTTCGACACGTAACTCCTCTTTTTCCAAATGCGTCAAACCTGTTTTCACTCAAGGCGGTAAGCAAAGTTGTATCATTCTCAATAGAATATGCAAGGCAAAAATAATGTTGTGATCTTATGACTTGGGTTCGGAACGCCTTGTATGGATTGTTGATGGTCCTTCAGAGGGTGAGTAATGCGGAAGAGTACGATTGTAAAGGATGGGACTGACGGATATTGTTTTCAACTTTGATCATCGTTTGACGGGGCTGAGCGGGTGGATGAGGACAGCCGGTAAGAGAGGGAGAGAGAAGAGAGGAAAGAATAGGGAGTGACTCAGAGCATTTTCAACTTCGAAATTGACTTTGTCTCCTACGGTCTGGGGTGATGGGGCATGAGCAGCGGGTAAGAGAGAAGGGAGGGAGAGAAACGAGGATAGGGATTGACGGAGGGCGTTTGCAACTTGTATCGGAAATACTCTCTGGGAAAATTTTGGGATGTGGCGCTGGCATGAGCAGAAGGTAAGGAGCGAGAGGAAGAGACGGCGGGCTGACATTCGATGTTTGCAACTTCGATTGGGGATGGCCGGATGATGGTGGGGGACACGGTGCTTGACGAGGACAGCTGGTAAGTAACGGGCAGAAGAAGAGGGAGAGGGTGGAAGAGATGGAAATTGACGATGCGTGTTTGCAAATTTCATTGGGGATGGCTACATGATTGTTGGGCTTATGGTGGCAGTGGGTAAGTAATAAGAAGAGAAGAGATGGAGAGAAACATCGAAGCTGACGGATGATGTTTGCAACTTTGATCGGAAATTGGTGGATGACTGCGGGTGGGGGGACGGGGGCTCTTGTGGGGAAAGCTTGTAAGTGACAGAGGTGGGGGAAAGGAACTGATGTTGTACGTTTGCCACTTCGATCGGGTACGGCTCCGGGGATGTGGGGGGACATGCGGCGCCGAAATAGTGGGTAAGTGACCAAGAGAGAGGAGGTAGGAAGTGACTTTTGATGTTGCAACTCCCGACGGGGGCGCATGGGACGTTTTGTTGATCGATTGTTCTAGAGTGTAAGTAGAGAGAGAGATGAAGCAGAGAGGGGAGGATGGGGGCTGACAGAGGGTGTTTGCAACTCTATTTCTCAATCATCGCATGACTTGTATAGCTGGTGAGTGACGAGGGGAGGAGGAGGAGGAGGAGGAGGAGGAGGAGAGAGAAACTGAAAGTACTGAACGTGGTTGCTTACAACCTTGGTTGGTGGTGATCTGGCCACTGATGGGGGGATCTGGGCCGCTGACGACGATAGATGGTATGTAATCAGAGGATGGGAGAGAAAGCAATACACGAGGGCTGATGATGGATAAACTATCGGTGATGGCTTCGGTGCTTTGCGGGAATATGGGGCTGACGCGGACAGAGAGTAAGTGACGACGAGAGGAGGGGGCGGGAGAGAAGGATCTCTGCTGACGATGGATCTTTGCAACTTGAACCTGGGACGCTTTGGGGTGCGGTCAACGCTCTCATGGGAGTAGTGGGTGAGTCATGAGAGGGGAGGGGTTGCGAAACCGAAGGACAGGATCTGACGGTGGGTCTGTGCAACTTGGATTGTGAATGGGCGAACGGGGGGCTGGAGGAGCTAGCTGGTGAGTGAGGAGGGAGTGCGAGGGAGAAGGAATAGGGGCTGACCGAGGGCCGTTGTTGGATCGGGGACGGCGGGGATGTTTGATGTGGACACGGTGACCTGCGAGGACAGTGGGTGAGTGACAAAGAGAGAGGAGAGTTGTGGGAACGAATATAGTCTGATGATGGTTGGTTTCAACTCGGACTCGACTTGGAATTCTTGGATTCTCGTTTTCGATCCTTTAGGATGTAAGTTTCAAGGAGAGAGGAGGGAGGAGAAGATACTGACAAAGGAACTTTGCTTCTTGGATCGGGTGTTGGCTCGGGTTTGGGTTTGTCTTCTCAGCGGGTAAGTATCTAGGGGAGAGGATGGAAACGACATGGACAAGGGCTGACCGATGGCCTTTGCATCTTGGATCGGGTATGGCCGGGGGCCTGGATCTAATGAGGATAGCTTGTAAGTAAGGAGGGAGAGGATAAAGAAGAGAAAAGATGTTGACTAATGCGATACCTTTTCAACTTGGATCTGGCGCACGATATACCAAACATCAATCATCTTTGATAGTTGGTGAGTGATGACAAGAGAAGAGGAGGAGGGAAGAGACGAAGGGAGCAAAGGAAGAACGAAAGGATTGGGACTGACTGGAGATTTCGCATTACAACTTGATTCGGTAAACCATGGGACTCTTGACAAGTGCAGTGGGTAAGATAAAACAACAGAGAGAGAGTGGAGGATGATAGGAGCTGACTGTGGGTCTATGCTATCTTGATGCGGCACTCATTACCTGGTCTCTACATCTGTTTGTATAGAGTGTGAGTATGGAGGAGAGACAAGGGTGGGATCGAGCAGATTAGCAAGCTGACGCTGCGTCTATGCAACTTCGATCGGGGATCTGTCTCGTCGGCTGCTATGCGGGGCGGTGGGATCATCGGACCTTGGGCTTGCGGGCACAGCTGGTTAGTAACCAGGATAGCGGAGGAGTGGCTAGGCTAGGGGCTGACGGTGGATGGTTTGCAACTTCCATCGGCTGGGCTATGTGGAACACATATGGCATATGGGGACAGTGGGTAAGTGTCAAGGAGGGAGACACGGGGGGGGGGGGAAGGGAATAGGGAGCTGACGAAGGGTGTTTGAAACTTGGATCGGATCGGGGACGGCTGGGGCCATGGGGACTGACGAGGACAGCCTGTAAGTAGGGAGGAGGGAGGAGGGAGGAGGGAGGAGGGAGGAGGGAGGAGGATAGCGTGCTGACGGAGGATGTTTGCTTCTTGGATCGGGGACGCGGGGGCTTACGTGGACAGTGGGTGAGTGCGGAGCAGAGAGAGGGGGAGAGAGGAAGGATGGCGAGCTGACTGAGGACGTTTGAAACTTGGATCGGGGACTGGCGCTTGTGGTTTGGACACGGAACATGGGGCTATGAGGACAGCTTGTGAGTATAGAGGGGAGAGGATGTAGGAGGGCAGGGGCTGACGATGGTGTTTGCAACTTGGATCGGGGGCGGTCGCACGGCAATGTTGGGGGCCGCTTGAGGATAGCTTGTGAGTATTGAGGAGAGAAGAAGGGAGCGAGGAGGGAAGGGACTGACAGAGGGTGTTTGCATCATGGATCTGGGCCGACTTGTCATGGGGCTAACGGTGGTAGCTCGTAAGTGTGAGCACGATTCAAGGAAGAAAGGGGCTGACGACGTATGTTTGCGACTTGTATCGGGGATGGGCGCGTCGGGGGACATGGGACTGACAGGGACAGCTTGTAAGTAACGAGGAGGGAGAAAGGGAGTCAGGAGAGTGCAAGCTGACAATGGATGTTTACACACTTTGATTGTGGACGAATCGATGATGGGTTGGATGTTTCGAATACGAGGACAGCTGGTACGTAAGGAGGAGAGGAGAAAGGAGAGAGAAGGAATGGCGCTTATTTTGGCGTTTCCAACTTGGGTCGGGGACTGACGCGTGGGCGGGGGACATTGGATGATAACATGGACAGTTGGTAAGTAAAGGAGAGGCGAGGAGACGAGACGAGACGAGACGAGACGAGACGAGACGAGAGGAGAGGAGAGGATAATGTAGGCTGACCATGACTGTTGGATTTTGGATCGGGAACGACTGGATCACGGGCTGGGAATGGGCTACGAGAATAGCTGGTATGCAAGGAGGAGAGAGATGGAATAAGCTAAGCTAGCGGGAGCTGACGGAGGGTTCGCAATTTGCACGATCGGAACTATGGGGACGGGGACAATGCTTGATGGCGCGGACAGCTGGTGAGTAAAGGAGAGAGTAGAGAGGAAAGAAGAAGAGAGGATTTCTAATGATTTGATATTTACATCTTGGATCGGGAAATGCCGGCGTTGCGGGGAACTTGGGGTTTACGAGGATAGCCCAATGTAAGTATCGAGAAAGGAAAGTGGGAGAGGCAACGATAGGTTGACTGTTGGTGTTGCCAATTTGATTCGGGGCGGCTGGGGTGATGGAAACATGGACCGACATGGTTAGCTGGTATGTGATGAGGGGAGAGGGCGGAGAAAGAGAAGGATAGGAGCTTACATGAAATCTTCATAACTCGGCTTGGGATGGCACTTGGGTCGATAAATTTGCATTGGGCTGACGAGGACAGCGGGTAAGTGGCGAGGAGAGAAGAGGCCTCAGATGGAAGGAAATTGACTGAGGGTTTTTGTTCAAATGGTACGGAATCTTCGCAGTGCTGTGTAAGTTGTTCGTGTCTTGATATTCTGTCACTGTGATATTGATTTTTTGGGGGTTCGCTACCATGATGACAGCAAGTAAGTTCGTCGGCTGATCTTTGGCTATTCGTCTCCTTAGATTGCCTTTCAGTGCTCCAAGTGGAATTGGTTGCCGTTACAACTCCAGGTCTGTTGCCATACCGGTCTGCTCTATCAGCTGATGGATCCTGTTGGTAGCGAGGGTGCGACCAGTGTGAAGAACGGCAAAGTCAACAAATACCAAGGGCGAGGCAGGGAGTCGAGATTCGAAGCCAGCAGGGAACAAGTCAGAGCCAGAATGCAGCTGGTAAAAAATTGGATTGGAGAGAGAAAAAACTGTTGGAAGACAGGCAGAAATCAATCGACAGGGAAAGGGAGCATAAAAGGATAAACCAGGAAGAGGAAAGGCGGCGGCGGCAGCAACAGCCTTGGAAGCAGCAGCCGCCACAACGGCAGCCGCCGCCGCCGCCGCAAACACCGCCGCCGCCAACACCGCCAACACCGCCAATACCGCCGCTACAACAGCAGCAGGAGCAGCTGTGGTTGCAGCGGCTACTTAGTCAGCTGGTGCCGGAGCCGAGATTGGACGAGCGAAGGGATCACAACAACGTCATGCAGCAGGTCATCACTAACATCTCTAGAGCCTCGAAGTATCTTGACATTCCTTGTTTCAGCCCGATGCCATTCCATGGGTAGACTTTCGAGTCTTCAACATTGTGAAGTATTTCAACTCTGGTTCTTTCAAGACTGTGTTCCATGGTCAATGGAAGAAGTCTTGTGGATACACTGATGTTGCCATCCTTCAAATCAGAAACAGTAGAGCTGCTGGAAGAAGAGAGGAGTTCGAGCGGGAGGTGCAGACATTCAAGACTCTGGGCCTTCATTCCAACCTCCTTCGACTCCTCGCCATCACCACCGAGCCGAAATCTGGTGACTTCTGCATGGTAACAGAGTTTGCTTCCATGGGTTCGTTGGACACACATTTGTCGGAACTTGCCGAAAGGAAGACGACGATCAGTCCGTTGGTGCAGCTGCAAGTGGCCATGCAGATTTGTGAAGGGATGGTACAGCTTGCCCTGTATGAGGTGGTGCATCGAGACCTCGCAGCAAGGAACGTGCTTGTCTTCAGTCTAGTCCCGCAGGATCACCTCAGGGTGAACGTCAAGATAGCCGACTATGGGCTGTCGATCATGGCCTCCCGCGGGTATGGAGAAGGAGCTGGGGGCGTGAGCACGGCAGGATCGACAATTCGACCAGTCCGATGGTTGGCACCAGAATGTATTCAGCGACGACGTTACTCGGAGAAGAGCGATGTGTGGGCGTTCGGCGTTACCCTATGGGAGGTGTGGACATACGCTAAAGTTCCGTTCTACAACACTTCAGATGAAGAAGTGGAACAGAAGGTGCTCACGGGCTCGCGACTTTCTCAGCCCCAGTCATGCCCTGATCAAGTATACAGCATCATGCAGGAATGCTGGAAGGAGAAGCAGTCAGACCGGCCAGAATTCAAAGATTTGAAGTTGAAGCTACAAGGGCAATATGATGAAGCCCTTAGAAGTCAAGCAATAGAGAGCGTCATGAAAGATAGCAACAGATGCAAGAGACCGCGAGAGGACGACGGAGCTGGAGAAGACGACGACAACATGTGCGTCATCTGCAATGAAAGAGAGCGCAGGTGGGCCTTCCTGCCCTGCGGTCACAGGTGCCTCTGCGATCTGTGCAATACCGCAGCGGCTACGAGGCTTTGTCCCATGTGTCGCGCGCCCCCTAGCAGCATGCACAGGATCTACTGAAGATATCGAATTTGTTGTCAAGCTCTCAACGTGAAGCAGCGAATTCACGGCAGGAAATGTTTTTTGGTATCCAACAAGCACGAGCAACAAGACGAGCATGAGCAGCAAGAATATTCTTAAATCACAAGCAATAAGGATGATAGTGCTTAGTCTAGTTCTTCCACATCGCTGTTTTGTTGTCGTTTCCTCCCGCTGTTTGTAGTTGTACAAGCTGAATCGAGGACGATACCAGAATTACCTCAAACCAGCTAAAACTTGCAGCCTATCAGTACGAGTCGATTGAAAGTGCCAGTCAAGTAAGCTATTGAGGCCCAGTAGTAGGCCGACTACCCCGCAAACTCCCACAGTGACGCTACTAGGCTAGGCCGCTCAGAAGCTCTCTTGTCCTCGGACTCGCCGGCCAGCCAGTGATGGGTCAGTCACTGTCGCCGGGCCCGACCGGGCCCGGTGCGGCCAGGCCTCAGTACCGTCGGAGGGAGATCCGTCCCTGCCATATTCCCCAGGCAGTAAAGAGAAAAGATAAGATGTAAACGGCTGTAAAGTCGGCTATGCTGTGATGATGCCTGCAGCGATCAAGCCTGAGTAATGTACCAACTGCGAGGCTGAGATAACAGAGAAGGAGATGAAGTGAGAAAACAAGTTGACACTGTCAACTCACCATGGCAGTGAGAGTAGCGGAAAGGAAAAATTACGAGCAAGATGCATTATAAACAGCGATGATATGAAATACTGCATAATGTGGAAAAATAGGCCAAAACAAATCATCATCCATACATGACCTGTCGGCTGCTCTGCGCCGGAGCATGACGACGCTGTACGGGAGGCATCTGTCAGGTATGGCGATAGGCTTGAGGGTGGTTGGGGATCCGGGCGGCTGACAGAGGAGCAGAGGACGGGACCCAGCTCGACTACGGGGGGATGGCGGCGAGCGAAGAGTACGCGGGGTACAAGGCGCTGGCAGAAGGGCTGAGGGAGGTAGACACAAGGAGCATGGGAGAAGAGGAGCGGGTAGCCTTCTTCATCAACGTGTACAACTGCCTTGTGATCGACGCGATCATCTCTCTCGGGAAGCCCAAGGACCTGCTGTCGCGGCTGAGGATGTACGCGGAAGCCGCTTACAATATCGGGGGGGCGACCTTCTCCCTCAACGACATCGAGAACGGGGTGCTGAGAGGGAACCAGGTGATCGCCCATGCTGCATGCTTGGTGTACCGTGGTGCTGGAGGCGGCTGGGGGCTTGTGAGTCAGGGCGTCGTTGCGGGCTTGGTGTGGGAGTTGGTGTGGGAGAGGTCTAAGTCGTGCGCTCCTACCAGAGTCCGCCGACCATCAACCCCTTCGCTCAGGTGGGGCAGGGCAGTGGGGGAGGAAAGCGCGAGGCTGACTGGGAGGATGCAGAAGCCTTTCGGGGAGGGAGACGCCCGTGCGGGCATTGCGTGCAAGAAGCCAGGTAGAGAGAGTGCGAGGAGGGTCGAGGAGGGGGTACTAGGGGTACACGGAGGGAGCAAGAGGCAGGCAAAGAGGAGGGGTGGGGTGGTAGTGTCGGGGGCATGGCTGCTTTGGGAGAGGAGGTGATGGCTGTCACAACAGACCCCCGGATCCACTTCGCGCTCAACTGCGGGGCTAGAGGATGCCCGCCGATCAGGTTCTACCGAGGCGAAGAGCTGGACGCGATGCTGGACAAGGCGGCGAGGTCTTTCTGCAGGTCGATAGAGGTGAGCCGGGCTCCATGGCGAGGCAGGGGAGACGAGACTGGGAGGAGGCCTGAGGGGGAGCGGGAGAGGTGGAGATCAGGGAAGCGAGGGGTGATGACAGCTGACTGGGGGGATGCGATGGCAGGTGGACCAAGACAAGGGAGTGGTGTACATGTCTCAGATATTCGAATGGTGCCTCGAGCCTGTCTGGGACTGGTACCAACTCGTTGCTTGGCAGGTATGAGAACGACTTCCAGTCAGACTCGACCGACAAGCCTCTCGTCTCAGCTATGAGCTGCAACGATGAACTAGACAAGAAAGCTTCTTGTGTCTGCGCGTGTGGATGTTTGGTTTCACGCCGCAAACGACCTCCTATCTCCACCTTGAGGTGTTTCTTGATACCAGCTGCCTGGCCTGGAAGCGCAAGCTGACGGCATCTGCTCTACTGTGACCGCTTAGGTTTGTGAAGAAGTACCTGGACGAGGATAAGAAGGATGCTCTCTCTCGCTTCCTCGAGTCTGGCAAGGTGGAGGATCCGAGTTTATGCTCGTCTTCTCAGTTAGTGGTAGCCTCAGGATACCGTGACTAGTCCAATGCTGCTGCAGTGCCGCTGTGTGGCTCACGAAAGCTTCATCCCGGCCAGTGACTCACAGTCAGCGAGACTTGACGAGGCTTGTCGGCCGCTAGTCCTCATCGCCTGACTTGATGTTTGAGTTTCCAGCACAGTACTGACTTCTTGGCAGGAGCTCGAAGTTCGCTATCAACAGTATGACTGGGGTCTTAACTCATCTTGATCCGAGACTGAGGGCGGCAGGGGCACATTCAAAGCCTGAATCATGATATTATTGAAGTAGTCTGACACTAGTTAGGCTGTTATGAATATTATTGAAATCAGTGCCTTAAATCCTGCAAAGTTAAGTGAAAATCAGAAGGTAGTGCCGAGTTGTCTTTATTGGGGTATGGGGGGGCAGGGAAGTTTATGGCAGTGAAGAAGGCGAGTGGCGATGGCAGCGGTCGGCGAGCAACCGGCGATAAGAAGGAAAGAATGTCGACAATGAGGAGACGAACCCAATCACTGATAGAGCACACGATGAGTTGCTCTTAGTCTTGGACAGCAGTTCGATTGATGTCCGGCCCTCAACAGGCGGCCCTATGAGTACAGCGAAGCGACTCTGCCTCTTGATCACTTGTGAACAATCAACCTTGCCTCCTGGTGCAAAACCAAGACAGCGAAATGATGACATGGAAAACTAAATCGAGTCGTCAAGAGCTCTGGAATGCTGAGCTGCATCGTTGCAAAATAGACGTGTTGTTGTTTGGCTGACCGGTTGGCGATGGGCTAGGGGAGGGAAGGTCACAAGAAATCTAGTTCGATGTTTGAGCTTTAGACGATACCATTGACAGACTACAAGACGATCCCTCAACGATTCTACAGATTGGCGACCTCGCAAACGATTCGAATCTGTGACTTTCTGTGATTTTGTGGATATCAAAGGTGTCAAAGCGATGGAAGTTCAACACCAGCTGCATGGAGTTTCGCAGCGCCTCTATGTTCTGCCCATGTCGTCGATCCCTCGAACAGCAGACGATTTCAGATCTGAAAGAACGCCTCGTCCTACCTTGCCAAGAATCAGCACAAGCGATACGGCAATGAGTTCCATGTTCAGAAACCACGAGGCAAAACTTAGAAGAAGATTCAGTGACAAGGAGTTTTTGATCCACGGAAATGCAATCTTGTCTCAGAATGCAACATCGCAGAAGCCGAGGAAAGTCAAGCCTGTGGAGATCGAATCTACTTGGAGTCAGCAAGTCAAATTTATCAACGAGAGAAGATCCAGGTTTGTGGAGAAAAAGCAGCCAGGTGTTTCAGAAAATATGACAGAATAAGATTTAACAAATGAGTGTCTTTTTGTTCTTAGATGTTGCTGATGAATACGGAAATGCTTCAAGACAGATCAATGTATTTTCAATCCTTAACAAATCCGCCTTCTTCTTGATTACTTGACTCAAACTAGATCATTCTGAATGGAAAGCTATATGATGGAGCAGGGGACGTTCTGAGAACAAGGTCGGAAGTTATAACATATTTGTTCTCTAGACGTGGTCACGATTTCGTTTTATTCAGAAAACTACAGCAGATTTCACCAGGGAAGAGCAAGCGATTATTCTCCATCACTCGTTCCAATGGCAAGAAAACAGGGGAGATGCAAGTTGCAGGGGTATCGTGCAAGCTTCCTGAGGTGAGAAAATGCATGCTACATGTTCCGGTCGATGACAAGTGTCATTACAGCACAGAGTTGAGCACACGTTTGTAACGAGCGAGGAATCTTTCAAGGCACTGAAGAGCTACATCCCCACCCTCGAAGACATAGTGAACAAGGAGCTAGACGACATGAGACTCGAAACTCGAGTGACCGGAAACTCCTCGCTTGTTCGCCAGATGAAAACTCAGGCGCTCAAGTTTAGAAGGTGAGAGTCGATCACGAGAGCTGTCTGTTGGCGTGAGGCAACAAAACAGGTTCTTGGAAAGCGTGATTACATCTTCCGAGAGACTAGGAGAGGTGGCATTCCGTGAATGCTGGTTTGCGGAGCATGTGTCTGCAAAGACAAGGAGAAAGATTCTGAGCGATACGTGGAGCACGTTGACATCCAACGACTTTCGGATCGCAGAAGACTTCTTCCGAATGTTCGTTCCAGACCTTGCGGAGCTGAGCACTAAGTGAGGGGAGGCGAAGCTGCCGGGGCCGCCTGATTCGGTGACTGGCCCTGCCGCAGGGCTGAGGATGACGATGAGGAAAGCGGTGAACTGCTCGTCAAGATGTTCGAGACCTTGACAGGAAGGTAACTTGATCCTCCAGTCTCCTCCTGTGTTTATCCTGTGTTTGTTCAAATTTGCTGTTCAAGGCCGTTGCAAGCCCTGGAGGACGACGATGCGATTGTATCTCAACACCCGGAGACTGCGAACAGATATGAGAGACTGAAAGAGCTCGACTCCGAGCTTGCTCAGGTCAGTGAAGGGCGCGAGTGCTGTGATTGAGCTCACATCCCCGTGACTGGATTCCAGACATGTCTCCTGTGCCGAGCGATGATTGTTCCTCATTTCTTCTTGATCCTCTTGTCGTCTCATGGCAAGCAAATCTCAGTCTCCGTCAACTGCCCACAGGTAACACGAACGCCTCTCCGCCAGGGCGATCAGACGCCTTGCCTGAAGAGTTTTGTGAACAGAGCGAGCACCAGAAGCTTTGGGTCAAGACTTGCTTGTTGATCAAAGTTCAGGTGCGGCATCACGTGTTGTGTGCATGTTTGCATGTTTGCATGTTTGCATGTGCTGCTGATGATGTTGGAGTCTCGATTCGACATGAAACTCGATGTCGTTGACTTGCGATGCTCCAGCAAGTGCTCGAGTCCTTGCTCAACTGTCTTCCCCGTCGCATCGTCAACTCGTCTTGTCCTGTAGTCCCATGTGGGATCCCTAGAACGGCGATCGGCTGACCCGACCCAGAAGTGTTACGGGGAGGCAGCGAATATAAAGTAAATTTAAAGTTAATAAATGCCGTTTGTGTCTTCCACCTCGGATCTATCTTTTATCTGAGGCGGGTTTCTCAAAGTGATCGCATTGAAGTTTCATCACCCCTGTCAAGATGACCCTACCTGGGCTGTAGCACTATTGCAAGCCTTCTCCAAACACCGGTACTCTTACCACCCCTACCCCTGCAAGAGTATATGCTCCCTCTCGTGGCCGCCGCGACATAGCATTCAACCCGCCTCTCCTCCTCCTCCTCCTCCTCCTCCCCTTCCCACGTCAGACATCTCGTCCCTTCTTCTCTCCTCCTCCTCCTGATCAACCCATCTATCTGCAGTGCCCATCTCGCTCCTGGGTGCAGGGGAGATCAAGCCACCCGAAGCAACGGTTGTGACGCTCGCCTGAAACCCGCAAGCAGCAGCCACAGGCACTTCATCCTCATCTTCTCTTAGGATGCACTCTTGGACTTTCCGACTCAACGCTCTGTTCACCTTCACCGTGACAGTTCTTGCCTTTCTGTCTGCCCTGAACGCGCTCTCGGTACGAACCTGCCGAACTCTTCGATCTTCAAGTCGTGATGCCCTGTGAGACTCATGGTATGTTGTCAGGTTGCCTTCTACAAGCCTGTTCCCGTCGCAACCATTGAAAATGTCAAGTTGAATCGCCTTCCTGGCTCAGGGTAAGGCTTCTCTATCGCTCCTCTTCCTCCAATCCTCTGCCATTGACCCGGCAAAACAGTCCCAAGAGGCCGAATGCAGAAGCTCGAGTCATGTTCGACATGAGTGCAGATCTGCGATCCCTTTTCACGTGGAACACAAAGCTAGTCTTCCTCTACGTCACTGCCGAATACAGCACGGAGCTGAATCGCCTGAACCAAGTTGTCATCTGGGATTATGTGATTGAGAACGTCAAGGTGGGAGGGTCGTCTAGCTTCCAGCAAGTCTCCTTCTCACCCTTGGCGTTCAGGACGCTCAGCTGACTGTCGGAAAGTCACAAACTCTGCTGTTGCCCCGGCATCACAACGAGTATCCTCTAGTTGATCAGGTGCGATTTGTTAATTGGTGGCGTTTTTCTTTCATCAATTTTCTTTTCCCGGTTTCCCGGTGAATTGTTGACCAATATTTCTTGCATGGATTCGTGCCTAAGTCTAGCATGCTGTAGATATTCTCTCCTCTCCTCTGTTGATCGTGTTGCTGTTTCTTTTCGTGTCATGTACTCTTTGCAAGCCCGCCTGCTTCTTCCGCTCATCATCACGCTGACATCTGGAGCAGGGTCGAGGCATCCGAAGCTCTGCGGACAACGTCACTTTGTACCTCAACTGGTCGGATCTTCTTGTGCCTCAGGAAGGGAAGGGAAGTGACGGGCGAGCAGGTGTACCATGCCGGTTGTGGGCTTCATCTCTCGTCAGAGGGAGGGAAAGACGGAGTTCAAGTTCCCCGAGACGTGGGAGAAACTTGCTGCTGCTTCCAAGTGATGTGGTGGGTGATGCAAGGAAGAATAAACTACAGCCTGATGATCACAAGCTTCGGAATCATCAATGGTCTTTCTTCTTTCATTTGTCGAGCAAACTGCTCTCTTTGTCCAAAGGTTGTAACTGGTTACCATTCAACGATTGCTTAGTTTGTTCGCGGCACAGTCTGTTTGAACCCGTGATGAAAGACACGAAATATGGGACATTAGCACTTGAATGTTGATGTATTGCAATCACTGGGGTATGGACACAGTAGTTGAAGTTATGTTGACAAGATATTGGCCGTCTCATGAGGACGACATGTAAAGTTGAGCAGAGAAGAATCACTGCAAGCTTGACTCGCAGACCATCTTCTGCTTGTTGGCGACGAGATTGCAAGCGCAGGCCTTGTTGACGCATTGAGTTTCGACCTGTTAACTTGAGTCAGAACCATCACCAGTGCAAGGGTCGAACAGCAACAAGAGCAAAGACAACGACTCCCAACACGTTCAAGACAGGGGAGAGGAAAGACTGAGACGCATCTCTAAACTCACCACGTCCTCCGTCTTGCCGCTGACAAAGAGGATGTCACCGAAGTAGATGTTCTGGTAGGTCTGGCAGCGTGGGCACTGGACGGAGGTCACGAATGGCTTCTGGAAGAGGAGGAAGTTTGTGATGGCCCAGGTGAAGCCCGCGATGAAGGGAGAGTTGATGACCAGAGAGGTGAGGGGGTTGGGCGATCCTCCTTGCAGGGTGGTGAACCAGTAGGCGAGCTCCGACCACACGATGGTGACGACAATGAGGGCAGGGAAGTAGAGCACCGCGTTCTTGGTGGTGTCGGGGATGAGATCGGACTTGCACGTCTGTCCATCTACCTTGCAGGTCGGGACCTCGTGGATCACAGCACGGCTGTTCTGCTGCTTCAGCTTCCTTCGCAGCGAGTCGAACTCTTCGTCAGACATGATGGGCTTCCCCTCCTGGTATCGGTTCGCCGCGACCATGAATTTGACCTCCTCACGGCTCATCAGCCCCACGTAGCTTCCCTCGAAGGCCAAGTCTGACTTGAGCTTGTCGTACTCGGCATCTGAGAGGATCGACTTGCCGTCATTGTGGAAGGCGCTGGTGGCGTCGAGGTAGAGCTTCTCCTTGGCAGCGAGGGTCAGCTTGACAGGATTTCCCTCCTTGTCCACTCCGAAGAACTCGCTCTCTCCCCCGAGCTCCTTCACCATGATATTGGAAGCGTCACTCCCGCTCTCCTGCATCCTCAGTGACAGCGAGGCCTTGGGCCTGGAAGCCCTGAGTGCTCTGGACAAGGGCTGTACCGCTGCCCTTCCACCCATACGGGAGGGGAGGACAGAGGAGGGAGAGAAAGCGGAAGAGGAGGAAATGCCGGCAAGGGCAACAACTCCAGCTGCAACTTTGGCGTACATCTTCAAACGGTTGGAAAGTGTAGAAGTACCAGCGCCTGGCACACGAACCGTCACAAAAATGTTACGCGACTTGTTGGAGCATGAATGTGAAACTGGAAGTAAGAGTTGTGGTTGCTCCGCCATCACACAATCAGATGAAAAAACAGATACGAGTGCAAGACACGCTCACTGCTGAAGAGAACAAATCGTGCTCGATCGACATTTCACCCACTTTTACAGCTGCCCGGGTAGAGGCACACGAGGGTTGTGAACACATCGAGACATCAGAACAATATCAGAAAGCAAAGAAACGAATGAGAACAGAACCGAACAAAACCAGATTGACCATGACCAATGTTCCAACACTTGATCTCAATGCTGTCGTAGATCAAGTATTTGATGGGTTGAGTGAGACATCAAGATGAAAGTGGCAGGTAAAGACAAGGTTCAAGCAAGACATTGATGTACTCAAGCACTTGAGCTGATGGCAAAGAGAATAATAAGTTGCTGTCAGAGGTCTATCCTGGTTGGTTTCAAACAAAAAGACAGAGGATCTGGACCAAGGACCAATGTCCCTAGGATCATTCCAGAGAACATATCCTTCCATCACTGGTTTTCACTCTAGGTGAGGGTAGACTATATTCTCGATACTGGCAACCCTGTCTAACTAAGAATGTTATCAGCACGATCTCCCTCCTCTTCCTCCTCTCGCTCCCCCCCCGCCCCAGCTTCCATGTTCTTTCGTCATTCGGCATAGACCCAGCGCACCACGCAACGACCCCCTTGGATAATAACCCCCACATACATACCCAATACCTACCTCCCTTTCGTTCGAACGATTCAATATAAAAATATTTTATATTTGAAATATATTTCTCAGATATTGAAACTTACTCGAAAGAAATCGTACAAAGCTCACAATAGGCGAGCCTACAAGATCTTGATTAATACTACCACCCCACCCCACCCCACCCATCAGCACCCACCCTTTGAAAAGCTGTGCACCCCGAAGGATGGAAGGAATGATGAGACTATCAAAATTATTTCAGTTAATAATTGTCAGTATAGCGGGTACTACCCCACCCCCATTTATGCTTTCGTCTTCATTGTAACTACCCCGTAAAATCTGCTGCGCCTGTGTCTTTACAGGACCTTTATATGTGGCGGGCCCAATCAGCCGCCGGCCGCCGGGTAGCGATGATCGCGGCATCCGATCTGATCGGATGCCGGCATGCCGCAGTGCGGCCGGAGACGCCCGGCCGGTACCGTCGGCGGCCGCCCGCGGCCGCCGGGGCCGGGCCCGGAGGGCCATCCGGTCCTGATCATCCGCCGGACGGCCCCGGACTGACGCGGCCGTCGGCGGCCCGGATCATCGGATGGGGCCTCAGCCTTCAAGTTCGGGCCTCCGACGGACTCGGGTCGGGCCGGCCCGGCGGGCGGGCCGCCACCGTCCGTCCGGGAGTCAAAGTGTGGCGCGGCACCGTGACTGGTCGCGTGACCAGGGCGGGGCGGCCCGGCCGGGCGCCGGGCACTCCGAGTCGGTCCGAGGCTCAGCGGGACTCCCGCCCGGCCGGCCCCCGGTGCCGTCAGCCCCGGGCCGGCGGCCCCACGGACCGGCGCCGCCGGCGTACGGGCCGTAACCGTTCAACGGCCGCCTCCTGGCAAGCTGCTGCAGTTGGATTGCAATCAGGGAATATGAACGGAACAAGAAATACGATATATCCTTTAGATGATTCACCCGACGCTTCGCACACTGCTGAGAACAGAAGACCTATAACCGAGCTCTGTAAAGACCAGGGTATTCCTGGAGCGCCCATTGCCCTTCCGCCCCTCAACTCAGGTAACAACACGCTAAACATGTCTGTTCTCGTCCTGTTTCGTCCTGACTTTAACTTGCTTCAGGAGGACAGCAAGACATTGCTGATCTATCGAACTTCGTCTCTTCAACCTTGAACCGTTACAACCTGATGACATCCGCATGCATCAGTGCTTTGGCAAGAACGGAGTTGTCGTTGGAGGACTGCATGCAGAGGGAAGTGTTTCACCTCAAGAGCACCCCTTCCGACAGCATCTTCTTCACAGCGAAACCCTTCTCCAGCGGGTTGTCGAAGGCACCGTTGAGAGCCTACATCTTCCTGTGCACTTTATCGTTCGCTATCTCTGCCATCATGCTGTGTCAAGGCGTTGTCTATCCGCTTGTAGGATACGAAGGCCAGTCGTTCAACTGTAGCAGGCCCCGGTTCTGGAGGAGAATGGCATCCGACGAGTTTCAACTGGAGGTGGAGAGTTTTGGGATTGCATGGGGAGATGGGCCACGGCTGTACGAGAAGAGTACAACTTTACACAGCTTCACGACTGCTAGCACCTCCTTCAGCGTTGAAACCTACGGAGAACCTATGAAATTCAATGGGATTTATTTTATTCTGAAGGAGCCATTTCAAGGCGAACCATACATTTGGTCTGAATTTACACTGCACTACACAAGGGACAACATCACATTCACAAAGCAGAGTTGGCGAGGATGGATTGATATCATTGACAGCGCGCGCAGGATTGCACTTTTCCGGTGGGGCCCGGTAACAACAGTCAACATGGATTTTTTCTTGTGGATTTTTTGCTATACGATTGTTGCAATACTGTTTACATTTTCCATCGTCTTCATTCTGATCCAAAAGGAGCATTACGTAAAGCCTTTAGTGTTAGCCGGCATCGTCGTACTTATGATCATATCAATATGCGATGTTCCTGTCAGGGCAACCACATGGCATATGGAGAACAATGTGGACGACATCGTATCAATTGTCCTGCAAGGGCTGATGGGCGCATTGCTTTTCATTCTTTTTCTTGCAATCTGGGCAGAAAAGAATCTACTATTGAGTATCATGCTCTATGGCTGCTGTAATATTGCGTCGAGTGCGGCAACGTATAAAGGGAAAGGAAGTTTTGACGTTCTCGCACTTTTGGGGTATGGCATCCTCCCCTGCTGTTTTGTGTTATATAATGTAATCAGAATGAGGCTTCTGACTACTTCAGCTCATCGGCTCATGAATGAAGACCTGGTCAAATACAATGACGTTTTCCTCTCGATGATAGAAGGATCAAGCTCATCAGATTTAACTGATCTAGAGAACACTTCAATCAAGATTCACCAAGAAATCTCAACTACTTCCAAGCAAGCTAGGCAAATGTTGAATGTCAAAAATGTTCACGAAGTAGCGAAGCAATTGAAATTGCCTAATGCCAAAGCTGTCGAAGGACGTTTGAAATCATTTCTATCTCAGCAGCTCAGGCTTGGAAGCAAAAATGGAGAAGAGTTTGTACCACTGACCAACTTGGATTTTTTGTATACGCAGGCTTGCATGGTGTATCCGCTGATGAGAGAGGTGGTATTGGGGTGGGCAAAGGCTTCAGGGGGGGCTCTTAGCCATGGTGCACATGAAATCGAGGACTTGGAAGAGCACATGTCAAATTCTAGCGAGCATCTTCTCGCACAAAGACTCAAAGCTCCGAGCAGAGCCATCGAGAAGGTGATACGTTGCTACGGAGGAGACGCCTCCTTTCTTTTGGACATCTGCAGAGAGTCGATTGTGTTCAGCGACACGGCAAGCCTTGTCAAGTGCCTGCAGATCATTCATGCAGATAGCAACGTCCGTATCTGCCGTATCAAGAATCGATACTCTAGCAGCTTCAATGCGTACGAGACTGGAGGATACCGAGACGTGGCCTTGAACCTGCAGCTCAAGACAGGGGACGCTGAGCTTCTGGGGGTCGATCATCATACTTTCGAGCTGCTTCTGATCCATGAGCATTTCTATGCAATCAAGGACAAAGACGGGCATGAGCGATATGTGCGATGGAGGAATATGAGGGGGCGATGACAGTAAAATGATTGAATCACTCAAGGCTTCTGACTTCAATGACAAATCATGCCGGCCACCCGGACGGAGCCTCGGAGGCTACACTGAAGTAGTACCGTAGTACCACCGTCGCCAGTGGGCCGCGCCCCGGGCCCCCGGGGGGCGGGGGGCGCACAGGCTCACACTGAGCCGCCGCCGCGCTGTGACTCTGCCACGGGGCCTGCTACTCGGCCCGGATCCGAGACGCCGTGGCCGGGCCATGGGCCGGGCGTACGGTCACGCTCGGAGTGTGACTCTGTCACGGTCGGACTGGGCCGACAGTACCGTACTGAGCCTCGGAGTACCGTGACCGCCGGTGCCCGGCCGTCCGTCTGCCACCGACTCACCCCGGCCGGCGGTGTGGCCGCCGGGGGCGGCCGGTCAGTGGCGTGGGTCGCAGCGGCCGGGGGGCCACGCGGCCGGCCCCGGCCGGGCGGCCGGGCCGGGCCGCCGGGGGCGGCGGCCACCGTACTAGGCTATGATGCATGGCAGTGTGCGGCCCTGGCGGGCCCGGCTGCCACCCGGTCGGACTCGGACTCGCGCCGCCGGTGCCTGAGTGCAAGTTCACATCCGATTTTACTCAGAATTTTACTTAACTACGCCGGTAACTTAAAGGCCCGCGCGCCGCCGGGCGTTCAGGGCGGGCCGCCCTAGTACGTGCGAGGACAATCCGATCTCAGTGGAGACTCAGTCCCGGATCGAGGCCCCTGACTCGGACCCGGGAGGCTTGACGGGGCCGCCCGGCGGCCGCCGTGCCGGCCGGCGGCGCTGACCGTGACTCACGGTCCGATCGCGCGGCACTGCCGGGCCAAACGGCCGGGCGAGAACTTCGCTGGCAGCGCGCTGGACCATTCCCCCGCGCCATCTTATGCAGTGCCAGCAATAGTAACTGAGTCTATTGTGACTACCAGGCCGTCACGGTGGAGGGCCGACACGGTGGGTCGGAGCCGGGCGGGCCGGGCCGACCGACCGACCGGCGTACTCGGGCCGTACCGTACGCCGGTAGCCCGGTTTATGATTGTCTTCGCACTGATTTTTAACTTAACTTTGAGTAAAAGGATTTTTAACTTTATGAGTGACGAAGAAGGTAGGTGACAGCGGAACTTGAAGTTCCGGCCCACAGTCAGAAAACCCAATTGGATGTTAAAAATACACCCAAAGGATAGGGTCAGAGTGAGAATCAATGACAATATCCTCCATATCGCTCCTTTTCGTTCAGTCGATCATGTACACATAGGGTCACAGCCGGTACGGTGGGGGGTAGTACACCAGAATGGGGAGGTGGGTAGTGACAACTCAAGGGGGCGGGGTACACTGGGTAAGGACATAAGGGACAGATATGAAACACGTGTGGGTACGACGGGCCTATGCCAGTCAAATAGGAAGATGGGGGTACTCCAAATTTAAGGGTGGGTCCTTGAGGTGTTCATGGGGGTACGGGTACGATCGGGCGAGGCCGGTAACGTGGGGATACACGTGGAGGAGGTGTGTGTTGCAGCGGACAGGAAATGACCGGGTTCAAGGAGCGGGGCTGATGGGAGAGGTGGGGGTACGTCTAGACAAAAGCTTCACGAGAGCTAAAGCTAGGGAGGGTCAAAAGGATTGTTGTGTGGCTTATACGGGTGGTATGAAGGGGTTCAAAGGGGGTCCTTGGCCTTGATATGTTTATGGGATAGTTCCTAGAGAAGGGGTGGGTAGTACAAAGGTAGCTGGGGACGGTAGGGTACTTCATCGGAAAACTCGGTTCGTCTCTTCTGGGATAGGAGGCTGGAGCAGGGTGGGTAGGACATATCCAAAGGATATGGAGGCGATTCTGAGAGGGAATAGAGGGGTCCTTGAAGGGTCTAGACACCGGGTAGAAAATACTTCCATTGATGGGTAAGGGTACAAAACAATTAGGTAAGGGTGGGTGGGTGTAAATTTGACCAAGACGTCGAGGAAGCGATGGCGAGTTGAAAGGCGGGAAAGATGGCAGAAAGAGCGAGTTAGACGAGAAGAATTCAAGCTCGAGGAAATGATGAAGGAGATGAAAATGCTTGCAGGACTATGTTGATCATGATTGAATAACTAGGATGGCTATGTTTATGGTCACGATTACGACGATGATGGTGATGGTGATCTCACCTTCGAAGCGAATGAAGGAATTTGATGTTGCCGGTTTTGGAACTAGGCTATGTCCAAAGATTGTATTAGAGCAAGAATCAAAATTTTTTATACCATCCTCTTCTTTTTTGTAATTCCTTTTGTACATGATAAATTTTTCACTGTTGTTGTGCGATGCAAGTCTCCTTGCACCAAAGTTGTTGATATTCGTTGGTTCCCCCCTCAAAGCTGTTTTGTTCTTTCCTCAAGCAACTCTTCAAACTTCGTTCTTCTCATGGCAGTTTAGGATCTACTACACTTGAATATATGCATTGTTTTTTCGTTCACATGAAACTTTTACTGTGCTTTTCATCAAATTTCTGATCATCCGTGTCTACAGGAAAACGACAACCACATTAAGCTTATATTGAAAAATCTGAGAAAGCTCAATGCCTGACCTTAAGGGCAAACCAAAGAACGAATTGGAAGAACTAAACAAGTTGTACGCGGAAGCAAAAGCGAGTGGGCGGGTAGTGGAGATCTCGAACAATCAATCTTTCAAGGTGGCTGGTGGCTCGACCGCGAGCAGCACCTCATCGAACGAACGTACTTCAGAAGAGAGGAACAGATCGCCGAGGGGGAATCAGCGCAAGGTCGGCTGCTTTTACTCTTTCTTTGGTTGTCATCGGGGTCGTGTGGAGGACGAGGATAAGGTTGACTCGCGATATTCTCATACCTCATACGAGAAGGCCAGGCATTCAAGATAACACAGGGGCTGCCAGGAATGGGGGGGGGATTGCTGATAAACCATAGGATGAGAAAGTAAGGACTGGAACTCTTGGGTGCGCGTTTACATCCAAGCATCTTTTACATTCAAGCATCTCGCACACGTGATAGAGTTTGCACTCAGTATCTTCTCAAGACTTTTCCTGCCGTTGCCCCTTACTTAGCTCATCTTTCTCTGTTCCACGGGCTCGCGAGTGCGCTAAGGTCCTTTTTCTTTCTATCAAGCAGGTCAGAACAAGGAGGTGAAGAATTGTATCATTTGCCTTGGTGGCTCTTGAATCATCGATTTATCTTGCACGTGTTTGAGCTGTACAAGATATCAAAAGGAATTCCATATATCACAGGCAGGTGGAAGAAAACCTGGCTCCGAAGAATATGAATCTCGTTGCTAAGTTGGCGTTTCGTTTCTTCCATAGTCTATCAAAGTGCTGTCAACAACTAGAGGTAGCAAAATGCGTTCTTGGTATGTAAATGTGTGTCAACTGGAAATTGCAATACCTTGCATGTTTGCTTCTGTATCAACCTCTGTGCCTTCAGCTCATCTTTCAGTTCCTGCTTGATTTCAGATCGATTTCTTGAATGTTAGTCCTCCACCTGCAATTCCATCTTCAATGCTGCGACAGTTCCATTGAGTTTGTTCTCCATCTCTGACAGCACTTTGGACTTGTCGTTAACATCCTCAGCTTCTTTTTTATCTGAGAATGTAATGTTTGTGAGAAAAGTATTGTCTGGTCACACGTCGTTACCCTTCTTTCCGCTCTCATTGATCTCCCGCTGGTGATCCAAAACGCGAGAAAATCGCATCCTGCTACCCGTTGTTGCAGACCTTGGGGTTCCGGCCTGCAACAAAATTCAACCAGAGCTAGACGATAAGCTGGTTACTTGTCGCTTTTCGGATGTCAAGGGTGCAGATGGCTTTTCAAGCATGTCCAGTCCACCAAACGATTCCGACAACCTGGATTCCTGTGACATTGCCAGCACTTTATTGGCCGCCATTGGCGGATCTTGAGAGCTAGCTTCTGCAACGCAGATCTTGGACTTGCGATTTTCTTTCATCAGTGAACTAGTCATAACAGCTTTCATTCTCACCTGTAGGCTCTGTGGTGGTATCAAGGACGCTGATCCCTGGAGGAAACAAGCTAAGCGACCTCCAAACAGTTGGCGAGATAGTCACATTCAGATGTTCTGCATGCGTTTTGCCAAGAAAGCTCGAGTCGTTCACTGCAGGAGATGACACTAGTTAAGAGTCTGCAGCAAGCACAGGGGCACCCTTTACCTAGAAAGCTTGGAAAGCTCGACAATTCTTCGTCGGAGTCGTCTGAATCGAACATCATGGATCGCCTCATTTCTAGTTCCACTTCTTCTCGTCTGGGAGTCAAAAATGGAGACTTTGAAACACTCTTGTTGACGTCTTCCGCTTTCTCGGTATCGTCCTACAGACATTGAGCGCGCTGTTTACTTTCAAGAAATCAACAGAAACCTGATCTCCCCTGCGAGAAGAAAACTGGATTGCAATCTTTTTATGATGATCTTCAATGGTCTCAACTGGAAGATGCAGGTGTTGTTTCGATGCATCTTTCTTATCTTGAATGTCATCAGCTTTCATTGTTCCGGTAAGCGGGCTCGTGGGGAGACAATACCTTGTTTAACAATGGGGGGTTTGTTTGCACTGTATCGCTTGGTGTTTCTTGATGCCAAACTGTCAGGTGCCTGTTGCAAAATGATCAACACAAGCCCGAGAACTATCTTAAAGCTGTTACGGTCGTTAGCGGCTTATGATCCTTGCTCTCTTCATCGCTGTCACTGTCAATCCTCCAGTTCATCTTTTTAGCAGACGTTGGCTGCACGTCATGGGATCAGAAGTGTTTTTCCAGCATGGGCACGATTGTACAATCTGTCCTTCAAAGTGAAAGTTCACATTTCTCATCATCAATTGTTCACATGAATGCAGGCACTGCAAGGTAACATATTCACCGTACAAACAGGTTGCAGGTTCGTCCTCATAGTATACAGCAAAGCTTTTCACGAATTTGCAAACCATTGCTACTTCACGATTCACTTCTCACCATCGTGTCTTGCGCCGATAAGTAGTCAATAGGGAATAGGCTTCTGTGAAGGAAGTTCGTACCGCCTGACGCACAAAGAAAATTATTCTTCAAGAGAGAAACGGATGAATTTTGAGCTACTCTACAGCTCAATGACATCATTCTATCAGAAGCATCTGAAGCAGGAGCACAAATACAGGTTGACTGAATTTGACTACATGGATTAAGCAAGAAGGCAAGAAGCATGCAGCACGTCAAGCCGTATGACGTGAAGCTTGAATTTATCATGTCAATGCTCAAAACAATCAAGAATGATCCGTGTGAGATCACAGGAGTAGAGAATCAGAGATCGAAAGCATGACTGATGTACTTGGCCTGCCTGTGTGGTTACCCTAGCGCTGGCTATGCTGTCGCCCGGTGACAAAAGTGCGATAGCAGTATCAAAATGTTGCCGAGGAATTCAGAATAGAGAGCACATCAGATAAATCGGCTCAGTCAGCGGGCAGATGTAGTGGGAGGCCGAGGAGCAGCTCGGAGGGAAGAGGGAGCAGGAGGGAGCAGGAGGAGGAGCATCGCAACAGGCTATAGGTCAGTTCTTCCCCGCGCTGCTACTGCTGCTCTGAGCGTCATTTTCCGAGTCCGAGGCCCTAAAAGGGATCAGTTCCTACCGTGCGGTACCGGGTATCCGCTAGTATGCGTACCAGCCTGGTATCAATCAGTTGCTCAATGTTAAGTTAAATTATACAGAGGACTTTAGCCGTACCGGCCTCGGGAGTCGTTGAGTCATCATGGGCCGATCTGATTCAAGGCTTCAATTCAATTCGAAATCCAATCACTGAAGGCACTGCCGTCACTGAGTCATGGTTGGAGTGACTGGGGTGAGTGTTGAAGCGGCTCTCTATGCACAGCGGCAAAGGCAAGTGAAGCAGTGACTCCGTGTGACACCGGGGCAGTCTGGCAGTGACTGGCCATCATGGCAGCATCCAGTGGCCGTGTGTGAAGTTCTGAACTTAGCGACTGCTCGTGTTGCTGTTCCAACACGATTGTTCGAGGCATTACTTGCCTCCAAACTTCCCCTCAGTCCTCAGGCTCTCCAGCAGCCTATCATGATGCTTGCAGTCTGCCATGCAGATGATTATGAACAAAGAAACATACCTTCATCATCAGCGCAACATGCAAGATGGAACAAGTTTAAAATAAAGTCACATCTCGATGTTTAGTTCCATGTGAGCATTCTGAACCATGTACTTTGGTACTGAGGTGTCATGGCAACACTTTCTGACTACTTGCAATTGATCTCCCTGAAAAATATTTGATTCGGCTTGCAACACTACTTGGAATTAAGTCCATGGAAGTTTTTCAATCATCTTGTGTAATCTGTGGAATCTGTTTGGAATGAACCTCCATGAATTTCAATTTCCCACGGTTGATTGAGGACTCCGGTGGGGAAAATGAAGAATGTTCGGTATTTGTATTTCTTTGCGATTTTAATTGCCAACTTTCAAAGAGCAGACATGTCAATATCATCAAGAGGAAATTCTGCTACAGCAAGGCCGATAGGTATCGCACAGAAAACACGCATACAAAGTTACAAGATCCAACAAGGGAAGGAAAACATGACCTTCATACTCACTCTGTAATCACAAGAGATTCAACACCCAAAGGAGCTCCCACATCTCGAAGCTCTTCGTCACCTCGCTGTACATGAAGCACATGGCGACTCCATTCGGAGCACACTCGTGTCCGTACTGGCACAGTCACGTCTCTCTCACTCCTTGCTCCATCGAGCCCTCCTGCTCAGAACCTGCCCGAATGGGTCGCGAGCTCATGCACAATCTTCGCCGCCAGGACACACTTCTCCTTCCTCGGCCTGCAGGACCAAGACCGTCGGATTGCGGGCAAGATTGCATCCGCTTGTGCCATTGCTGGTCCCCGTCACGCGTCGAGCCATGTGGTACATCCGGCCCGCCTCCTTGGTTCGGCAGTGCCAGCTCAGCCGGACTCGGGAACTGGCCAGCTCAAGGTACTCTCTGCTCTTGCACTGCTCGACGTTTTTGTGTCAACGTTACCTTGACTGTACACGATGTCGAAGCAGAGCTCACAATTGCGGAGATTGCTGATGGAGATGTTGAGCGGAATGCGCGGCCGGAAAAAACGGGGTTCGAGCAGTCGTAGGTCATGTCGTTCACGGTAGAGCAGTCAGCAGAGCACGCATGAATCGACAGGAGTTTGAGCACAGAGGGCTGCTGTTGAAGCTGTCAAGACACTTGTCCTGACAGCAGTCCCCGACTCAGTGACTCGGAACTTATGGCAGACCTCGTCCAACCAGCAGGTGCTGCGCCCAGCACTGTCGGACGGTCTCTGCAGGTCTGAGAGCCTGGTTGCAAAAACCGAAGTTGAGAAGCAGTGCAGAGTGAAAACGAGCAGCTGGTCACTGCGCACGCTACCAGCATGGCGAACCAGTTCAGCGGAAGTTCAGCTCAGCCTCCGCAGACTCGAGCCTACTCCAGCTGCCGACAACTTGAGATCATCGGATGATCCGATCGTCAGTGATCGGCCCCGGGCCCGGGCGGTCGGTCCCGGTCAGTGAGCCCGGTCGGTGCGCGATAACAACTGAGTTGTTATAACACTTCTTTTCGATCAGCCTGGCTGACGCAAAGAGCCGCATCTCAAGCCAGATACCTCAAAGCCGTCACATCTTTTTCGCCCAAGCTACCTCCAGAAAAATGGCAAAAGAATGGGGCAACCAACTGCTACCCCACCATACTCCCGCAAAACGTCATGTTCCATCAGCGGTAGGGTAGTCTCGTTTATTGTTTTGTCAGCAGCCTTTTCGTTCGGTCATCCGCTACGTCAATACCCACCCCCACCTCATCATTCCATTTCAAACCCCCTCAATTCCAAACTGACCCCCGACTCGAAAGTCTCCGCCAGACCCTACTCCTCATGCTTTCGACTCCCTTGAGTTGCCCTCTAATCGGATGATCGTCCTACCACCCATCGCTGTGAACAACATGGGGATGGAAGTTTGCGCCACCCCTCCACCCACCCTTGAGGGTCCTTACCCTCAGTTTGTTACACCCTCGTGAACATTTTTAGTCCTGTTGCTCCGAAATCACGTGGTTTCGCGTCATCTTCCGGAAAGTCGGATCTCTGGGCTTGCAAACCTCATTCCAGGGGCAAAGTCTACCCCAGCACATGGACCGTATAAACAGACCACCCCCACCCACTTCTGGTAATGTTTTAGATGACTTTAGTACCCCTATTTTGGAGACACCACCACCTCATGCTGACAATCCGCTCACCCTTGCCTTCCTTCTTCCACTCCCCTTCGTCGCTCTCGCCGGCCTCTCAACCCTCGTCCTCCTGGTCCTAGTCCTCCTCGTCCTCCTCGTCCTCCTCATCCCTCTACAGGACCTCAAAGCCTACTCGTCATCTTCCACCTACCTCGCATCATACCTTTCTCCTTCACTGTACAGCCTTCAAGTACGTGGACACATCGAACATGAGATTCCTTCCATTCTCTGTCTTGCTGCCCTGTGCATGTTTGGCATGGGCACCAACGCCAATGCTAGCACGGGATGGTTTGCTCCGATCGTCGAGCACGACGAGACCGTCCTTGCGAGTGAGTGCGCTGTCCCTCCGTGCTGTCTACACGCCAGAGCGAAAGATTGAAAGCGCGATGGAGAAACAAGTGGAGGAGCGAAGACATGCTGCAGAGCAGTACTTCTCGGACTTTGACAGGTGGTATCACATCTGCCAGCAGGAGTCAGCTGCTCAGAAATACTTTGCGGAGTTCGATCACTGGTACCACCTTGACGACCGCAAGCCCGACATCTGCAGAATCTCGTGGATGCACGATTATCCGGAGGAGACTGGCTCCAAAGTAGCCTGGAATGACGACGGAGGAGACATGCGCGACTTCTGCGGGGTCTTTGACGATCCCGACTTGTAGATCTTTATATCCTCCGTATTCAACCTGCGTATCCTGTTGGATTTGTATGTAATCTTTGTTTATATTCCAATCTTGTTGTGCTGCTGACTAGACTGAACAAATGGTCACGTTGTTTCCTTTAATTTCGAGTATTATACCATATTGCAGATAGACGTTGACCTCTCCGTCCTGTGCTATATCCCTTATCCATTCTCTGGTCACGTTGACTGAAAGATCACTGGGCAAACTGACCGTCCTTGCGAAGTCCTTTACATGTACGATGCGCTCATCATTCTTGCAGCCTCTTCGCACTCTGAGCCTTTCCTCCCAATCAGGACTGACAGACGAATGAGAAAGGCAGGGATCTTTCTTCATGCGAGGATAGGAAGTTTACCTGGTGGTGCTGATAAGAGTAGATTGCATGCCAGGGAATCAGAATGAATGGTGGAAACTTCATTGTATCAAAATAACAAGCTCCTGCACCCCTTGCACCATCCTTCTGGGTACAGTACCCATCCCAGTTTGTGGTCGGGATAGGCCTTATGGGAAGAAGAGATTCTTGGACGAGCGGGGCCGTCAATGACAAACCTTTGCCCGGTACTTGTCAACTAGCTCCCTTCCCTTTGACACTGGCATGATCCCCTCCAGCAGCATCCGAGCTGACCACTTGGCCGTCCCTAGGAAAGAGCCTCGAGCCATCGATCACCAGGAGTCCGACCTGCCCACAAGATCAGCTGGAGTTCCCAACTTGATGACGTCACGTTGTCCGCCGTTCCCGCAGACAGGGCGAAGTCTACCAGCCCCTTGACCATGGTCTGCTCGGGGAAGCAGCGTCAGACACGAGGGTCTGTGCTCCAGAGCAGGATGCCAGGTGGGTTTACCGGCAGCTCGAGATTCATGCACGAGTACTCCTCCACCATCTCCTCGCTAACTACATCCCAGAAACTGGAGAAGGCTGTTAAGCTCAGGTTGCGGAGGATCGAGGACAGGAGAGAAGACAAAAGGAAGCGAGGACACGACACCATTCAAGGAGATGGGGCGAATAGAATGAGGGGAGGTAGGCAAGGTCAAGGTCCCCATTACCCGTCCGTTGCAATGACCAGGTGCCTGTCGTCGGGAAGGAGCGCAGCCTTGGTAACGAACGGCTCCTGGCAACGCACGTCACATAGGAGGAGGAAGGGGAGGGGCAGCTGACGGATGTGAGATGAGGATGTAGACTGAAGTCCCCCAGGCTCCTCGTTACCGCAAGCACCTTGTAAACACTCTCAACCATCACTACCGCCAGGCCTCCTCAAGCTCACCCCGTTGAGACGCGGGACCCCCACGGTCTTGATAAACCCGCCCAGCTCCTCCACCCTCCTCCTCTCGTTCTCGTTGTCGGGCCGATGGATCTCACAGAGCTGCTCCCCCCTCCCCCCCCTGCTGTCGCCCAGCAGCACGATCTGCGTGTCCCCCGCGTTGGCCGCCCACACTTCATCCCTTCGCACCAGCACCACCGCAGCCGTGCATCCTGCCTGGGACTCCCTTGACCTGCAGTACTCGGCGAAGGAGGAGTCAACCATGGAGAAAGACGTCCTCAGCGCTTCCTCCGGTTCTCTTCCCTCATGCAGAAGGAGGGCAAGGAACTTCCACAGATTCTCCACCGCCCACCTTGCCGCCTCAATCCCACCGTGCCCGTCAAAGACTGCAAACATGCTGAACGGGTCCTCATCGCTCCTCTCGCACTCCTGCACCATCATGCTCTCCCTGGCGCGCCATGTGCCGACAAGGTCAGGGATGACGATGACGGCATCTTCCATGTACTTCCTTCTCCCTTGTGCCACCACAAACTCAAAGTTCCGGTCCACGGAGCCCTCTGCCGCTTCTGCAGCGCATGCGGGGGCCAGCGGAAGAATTGAGGTGCTCCCCTGCAGCGAGTAGGTCAGGCCGAGCACCCTGGAAGTCAGAGAGACGGGCTGATCCGCTTCCTCCTTCTTCCTCCTCTTCAACGAGCCCAGTCCGTCCGATCGGAGCGGAGGGCCCCAGCATCCCACTGTCGGCATCTCCTTTACATAATCGTGCTGCGCCATGGCCTGCCGGCAAAACTCGTCGTCCTCCCACACCTCCGTCGCCACCGTCTCCCCGAACTTGGCGGTGTACTCCCGGATCAAGACGCCTAGCGCCTGCTTCTTGAACGCGGAGTAGGAGCCCTTGTAGCTCTCCTCCATGAGGACGATGCGATCAAACTCGATCTCTGCGCTCTCAAGGATCTCCCTGATTCGCTGCTCGCAACCCCGTGACCTCCCGCTGAGCAGGACAGTCGTGTGGCGGTCAGAGAAGGCCCGGTCGAGGAGCTCCAAGTAGACCTCCTGGTTGAGCCAGTCCTCGCTCGGCCTCTCTGGCACGTGAGGGGGCAGCAGCCCGGCGCTGCCGAGCCCCATGGGGCAGGAGAGGGGGAAGAGATGCAGGGGGGTGCGAAAGAGAGTCCCATCGAAGCCGAAGACGGATAGGCAGGGCCCGTTGGAACGAGGTTTTCTCAGCTTGACGGGTGCTGCTGAGGTCTTTGCTGGCCTCCTCCAGGCCTTTGCGCCGTCGCCCTCCTCCTTGTCAACAGCGATCGTCTCCCCTGGCCCTTTCTTCTGCGCCATGGCCGGCCATCGGCACCCCCGTGCGCTGCCTCTCATGCCTGCATGCGGCAGGTGGAGAAGTGTAGGCGGAGCGAAAGCGAGAGCACCTGACGGGAATGCCGAGAGGCAGAGGCATGGCAAGAGGAGGAAGCAGCTGATTCTGAGAGAGCCCATAGCCCAGTCCCTCTCGACCTGTGACCCCCGTTGGGTGAAGACGCGCGCTTGCTCAGGACATGTTCTGCCTACTCTAGGATAGACCAGTATCTCCACTGTCATCGTGAGAAGCGAGCTCTTGCGCGGGACGACGGCATCCTTGCGACCTCACGGCGGCGAAGCAAGTCACTCGATTACTTTACAGAAGTCACTGAGGAGATGACAAGAATACTTCCACCCTCTAATTCTCTTCCTTCTCCTCTCCTTCCCACTCCCCTCCTTCCTCCCCTGCTCCTCCTCCCTTCCCACTCCTCTCCCACTCGCTCCATCGCCGCCCCCCTTCCCCTTTAGAACTGAATGGGTCCGCCTCATCGCAGGCCTCATTGCCCCTCCTACAGCACGCCAAATTTTCTTGCTTCGTTGCTTCACCTCCCCATGCAGTCGGGATCAACCTGAAGCCAGCAAAGTCAGCTCCTCTCCCCTCCCCTCCTCCTCTTCTTGCCTTCCCACTCTCCCTTCCTCGCCCTTCCTACAATCATCCTTCTCCTCGCTATCTCCTGCTCAGTAGCCCCTAGCAGCTCACCAAGCAGAGCAGGAAGTGAGGTCGCGTCTGTATGAAGTGAGCGATGTAGTAGAGGGAGCAGAAGAAGACGAAGGCGGGAGCGACGTTTCCGGGAACAATCTGATATTTCGTGAGAGAGCGACTGAGAACTTGCAATCCCAACCTCGAATTGTTTCTCCATCGCCCACAACACAGCATACGTGCAGGAAATGTTGGTAACAGCGTCAATACCCCAGATGCTGGCAGATCGCGATCAGAGAGGAAAACAAGAAAAACAAGAAAAACAAGAAATAAAAAAGTACAAGCTAGCAGGAGCATCGATTCCATAGAGCAGGAGCATCATCACAAACAAGAGGTGCTCATTCAAGCTAACGAGGTTCAGCAACCTTCCGATTCCAGCGCACACGACAAGGCTGGCTAGCATCACACTGTTTGCGAGCATGTAGTCTCTGCCCTTGCTGATCCACGGGTGCGAGAGGATAAGGAGGCTGATGAAGTAGACCATGGACCCAACCACCTGCCGTTGAGATCAGAGTCGAGAAGGAGGAGAGGGAGGAGGAGGAGGAGTTGGTGGTGGTGGAGGAGGAGCATAACCGTCATCCCCTTGCTGAATGGGCGTGTGTAATGCTGGATGCTTTCCGAGGGGCTGCTCATTGCCAGCAAAAGGTAGGCAGACAAGAAACAGAAGCTGACTAGGAGGCATCGGAACAAGTCCTGGCGGTTCTGCAGTAACGTCAGAGAAGGGGAGAGAGGATGGAGGAGGGGTAGACCTCGAAGCCGATCTCGTATCCGATGCCCATGTAGCGGATGCCGAACCCGCACAAGTCGAACAAGGCGGCGCAAGACAAGAATCCCATCAGGGAGCTCTGAAAGAAGACGGCGAGCGGGGCCAGGACAAGAAGGCAGTAGAGCATGGCGATCCTGATTATCTGTCGCATGCCTGCCGCCTCCTGCCTGCTGAGCAAGGAGAGGCTGTAGACGATGCACGGGGCGAACCCCATGGCTCCCGAGAGGGAGACCATGACGGCGGAGTAAGCATAACCCGGGGGGTATCTCGACCCCTGGACGACCAGGCAGAGGCAGAGGTAGAAGCCAACCACTGAGAAGACTCCGTTCCTATGCATGGCGAGGAACGCGGAGATGACAGCTCCCGCAAAGATGTCCTTTAGAGGCAGGAGGAGCTTGATGACAAAGGGGATGATGGTGCAGATGATGCCAACGATGGAGACGAACCATGCGATATTGACCAAGTTCATCATGCCTGCAGTAGCTCAAAGTATCAGGACCTCCCATGATGCCCAAGAGAGCTGATACCTCTCATCCTTTTCATCGTACTCTCTCTCTCATCCTCCTCCTTCAGGACGCTCTCTACCCTCAACAGCTGGTCTGCCATCACGGGGCCTGCGGACTGAAGGACTTCTCCTGCTCTCACGAGTACATGGTGTGGACACCATCCTGACCAGCATGAAGAACAAGCGCTCAAGTCAGCAGCATGCCATCACTCCGATGATCCTACCGCTCTTCCGGCACTGGGCCCTCAGCATTCCGAGCTGGAAGGCCTGAGTCATGCTCCTTGGCTTCAGCGCGACGGCGGACGACGCAGCGGCATCATTTGAAGGAGGCGTCCAAAGCTGCTTCAACCTGCTCTGCACGGCTGCAGGGTTCAGGCACATCCCCCATATAGTCGCAAGCGAAAGAGCTGAAGCACAGAACACAGTGACATGCGATATAGCCACCATGTTCCGACGCCTGCTCCAAAGGTCCTTAGTCCTTAGTACAGCGAAGTGGAATGCAGCATCTAGGTCTAACATGCAACATCTAGATCAACCCCACGGGTTAGTGCCTCATTGCCTTTGAACATTATCGCAACACTGACAAGACATGACGTGGACGTTCGTACTCAACCGAAAACCAGCATCCCCTCGATCCAAGGGAGCAAGCACGCAGAAGAGAGCGAGATGCAATGAGAACATCGACACGTCAGGTGAATGCTTCATCTTCTTCCTCGTCTCTGCATGCTCTGATGACCTCTCCTCCCTCTCCCTCCTCCGTGTCCCCTTCCAGCTCATTGCAAACTCGCCCTGCTCGCCTCAGAGCCACTTGACTGACAGCCTTTCATTGTTTTACTCAAAGTTAGGTTAAAAATCAGTACCAGGACCTATCAGTACTGAAGCCTCTCAGTGACGTTGCCCGCCGGGCAGCAGCACTGACCGGGCCCCGACCGGGGTGAAACATTACTCATCGAACACTGTAGTACCGCCGCGCTGTGCGCATCCCCCTTTTTTACTACTTGTTACAATCAAGGGCACCCCACCAGGTAGAAAGTAACTTTTTTGAGGATATATGACCGGTACAGCCTGAGGATTCATCAAGGTGTCACTAAGACCCGTCGAGTCATTTTTTGCACACCCACCCTCACCCCCCCGTTCACGGATAGTACCCCCATGACCCCTCTTTTGAGGCAATTTATCCCCTGTGACCTGAGGGTTTCAGAGGTAACTTTGAGAGCTTCCTCCAACAAATGTACCCGTTCACTTCCGAGGTACATGCTAGCCTGGACCCCTGTTTTCCCCCGGGATGAGATGGGTGCCGAGCCCATAACCTGGGTACCCCACCCCATTTCCTACCCATCGTCTGATCTGTGATCTTATCAAAGGCTGCTATTTCCATGTACCCCACCCCACCCCCTCATCCTGTACCCTCTTTTCAACAGCAAGAATGACCCCCTTACAGGCTACGGTTCTACAGGGCATGCAGTGAAGGAAATGGCGACCAGGAGGAGCGGAGGGGGCGAAGCCCCGGTCGTCTACCCTGTCGGCATGTTCATGCTCATGCTGGCCTTCATCGTCCTCCTCACTCACACCTTCCGCCTCCCCGCAATCCCTCCAGCTCTTCTTGTCGGGATCATAGCTGGTGCTGCTGAGCTGGACAAGCGCATGAACCTAGAGGCGCCGGTCATCGCAGCTCTCATCGAGCTGGGAGTTGTTCTCCTCTTATTCTTTGCAGGCCTTTCCACTGATTACGTTTCTCTTGTGCATCACTACAACACCTCTTTCTGGTTTGCTCTGATTCAGATCATAGTTCGAACCGCCATCTTCGCCGCCCTTGCCGCTGGCTCTGGTCTAAGTCAGACGGTGGAGGCAGTGATCTTCTTTGGGCTCACCTGCTCCTTCTCTTCGACCCTGATGACCGTCCAGAATCTGCAGATGAGAGGGGAGATGAGAACTCTGCACGGGCGGATCCTGCGAGGCAGCTGCGTCTTCAAGGAGTTGATATCCTCCTTCATCATAGCCATCATCTTCGCCTTTTTCCAAGCTCGAGTCATGTTCCACTCCATGGCCACCGAGACCAGCGCCAGGAGAGGGGAAGTCAACGCCACCTCGACAGACGTGGCGAGTGATGGCTCGCACAAGAAAGATCAACTGGGGACTGAAATAGGAAAGGCCATTGGGATATACGTGCTGGTTTGCCTTATCTTGTACGGCCTTCACAGATTATGTCTTGAGCGGGTCTTCAAGTTCTTCTCCAAGGACAGCGAGCTTCTCTTCATAGGGATCATGGCGTACGATCTGGGAGTCGGCGCTCTGGGATTTCTTGCCGGCTTCTCCCCTATGGCATGCTCGTTCCTTGCGGGGTTGAGCGCCGCGTTTCTCAAGCAGCGAGTGAGGATCGAAAACAAGGTGTCGTCGCTCAAGGACTTTGGCATGATCACTTTCTACTTCATGATGGGGATCTACGTGCAGCTCGATGCTGCCTCCTTCGGTCGGCTCGTTCCATGGTCTATCATCATCTGCTTCATCATCACCATCGTGCTCCCCGTCCTGTTCTGGGTCTTTGGAGCCGCGATGGGCCTCAAAGGGAGAACGACTTTCATGATCTGCAACACTTTCAATTCCATGGGCGAAACCTCGTTGATCATGCAGAGCCTTGCTTATCATGCTGATATCTTTGACCGGGACCAGTACATCGTCCTCCTCCTTTCCTCTCTCTTCTCCATGGTCTTGGGGTGGATCCTCCAGACGTATCAAGTCGAGGTGCTGTCTTGCAATGCCCTCCTGCTTTCTGTCGCTGACCAGGCGTGTTGCATCTGCAGATCTACAACCGTGTCAAGTTTCTGTTAGTGGCATTAGAGAACGTGACGGCCGAAGAAACAGAGAGGGAGAAGAAATTCTCCTACAAAGATCACATTGTCCTCTTAGGATTCAACGAGTCTGGGCTTGAGATTGCAAATCACTTCCTTGAAAAGGTTTCCAGCTCTTCTCACTCTTCTTCCGTTTTGATAGTTGATCTCCTCAGTCTTCATGACTATTGCTTGTCTTTCCCTTCCTTCCTCTCTTCCCTATCTTGTGCTAAAGTCCGAATGGCAGAAACGAGACGTCCTAATGCTCGATCTCGACCCAAGTTTGCATCGAACGATGCTCACTTCGTTCTGTGGAGCTGATGCCAGCTCGCACGGTGACGAGGAGCACGCAAAAGCTCACTTCGGCACCAACATCTTCCCCGTGTATGCTGATCCGGAGAGCGAGCTTTCATGGCATCGCTACAGGCTCAGATCGGCCTCCCTTGTTGTCTGCTGCACTATTGACCGCGACCCGAAGCCTCTGTGCAAGTACATGAAGGGAAGCAATGCGACACTCATGGTAATCACCAACAGCAACGAGGAGGCCAAAGTCCTCTATGACCTTGGGGTACACTACGCCATTCAGCAAGAGTACCTTGCGGCGCTAGAGGTCAGCATCATTCTCAAGGAGGAATATCAGGAGAGCAGCAAGGCTGACAGGTCAAGGCTCCTTCCCTTTCTTCTCTGCAATGTTCTGACAGGGTCTCACAGCTTGTTCGTCAAGAGGAGACAAAGTCACCAGGAGGAGCTCAAGGAGGAGCAAGAAAGTCACATCCGCCGGAAAATTGGCGAGTTTATGTGAGAACAATGTGAAATGGTTGTCCACGATGTTTTACGGTTTTAATGATACATGTCTAATGGTTTCATTCGAGCATTTCTTTGTACAAGGCTCTATCTTCATGGTTCAGAGTTTCCTCCCAGCAGGAAGAAAAGAATCTGCAACACGAGCTTCAGGTCGGGAGGAAAAGGATGGTCGTCATCTCGTTACCAAGGCGTATTTCATGAGCCCCATGTTTGCATCCTGCAAGCATGGGGAGCATGAGAACTCAAAATTTCCATTAACTTTCAACCTTCTCCTTGTCGTCCTGCACCTCCGCCTGCACTTTGGGTTTCAGCGGCGCGTCTGTCCACCTCACGATCCTGTCCCTGCCCATTCACTGCATTCAGCTTGACAGAACAGCATCAACTAGCTCCAGTCGAACCTCCAGCTCATGCTCCAGGAGCTCTCGTCCTGCCTCACGGTGAGCATGTACATCAGGACGGCAAAGGTTGCAATCACCGTCTCCTTGTTGAGATGGTCCATCACCCAACCGGGGAAGCCATTATCTGATGGCAGGCAGCTCATAACCTTCCCACCACACGAGAGCAATGCGCAGTACCTTCTGTCATGATCCGCACAGCGATGCACGACAACAACCAGATGCTGTTCGTTGAGTCACCTCGCATGCTCTTCCCTCCTCCCCTCACAACCAACCTGACAGGGAAGTGCGAAGGGGAGTATCCTAGGAGCAGGTAGAAGGCTGCCATCGCCGATCCCAGCGTGGCATCCCGCGCGCCGATGGCGAGGACGAGGTCCATCACCTTCCTGCGTCGCTGCTCGTTGCTCAGCTCGTGCACGTGGAAGTTGCGGAGGGAGGAGGAGTCGATCTTCTGCGTCTGCTGGGGCAGGAAGGACATAGAGGACGCCTTTCTCACGATCCATTGCGTCTTCTGGGGTTTGAACGCCTGCGATGCAAGCTGGAGCACACCGCACCTTTGCAGCTTGAGTGCTCTGGTCGATTGGGGCAGGAGGGGTTGGAAAGCAAAGGCCCCAAGGAAGGTAGATACAAGGAGGGCAAGGAGGAGCTGATATCGCAGCATTGGGCACATCTGCAGGAAGAATCACTCAATGCAAGGGGATTAAATGTCAGTAGCATCTCTTCCTGCATTTTCTGCATTTCATTTCAGGAGATCTCTCACGCTCTCATTTCAACCTCAACAAATTTCATCGTCTCACTCCCAACAAAGATCTTCTAGCATGCAGCACAATTCAACCTCTCCATACAACTTTCATTCATCCCTGCCTCTTTCCTGCGATTTAGGTTCTGATCTCAAGAGAAAGTGAACGGGAGGTCATGCAGTCTGTCATCTCCATTCCTGCCTTCACTTCATTTCTGATGATTCCTACAACCTGACCTTGGCTTCAACTTTCTCTCTCCGTGCATTCCTCCTTCTCTTCTCTCATCTTCAACCGGAGTCGATCTCCTCGGCCCCAATTACGTGATCCGCCTACCATTCTGTAGCTCCCATTGGCAGAGCAAGGACAGCCATTCAGCCTTCTCCACCAGCTCTCTGACACCATCCTGACACTAGCTGCTACGACATGAATCGCAAACTCATCGTATCCTCTCATCGTTCGCCCCCCCCCCCCAAAAACCCCCCCTGTTGTTGGAGCCAACCATACCAATATTTGCCACTCGCACCCTGAAGGAACGCCGTTCCCCGACACAATTCCCGAAATTGTACTTTGATTTTCAATGATTATTTTCAAATAATGAATGGTTCTTTGTAATGACTTGAAATGTGGGTCAAAAACACTGACCTTTGTTTCAGTATTTACTCCAAATATTATTGAATTAGAACCCCTTCTGAAAATTTAATACTCTTTGGCTACTTTTTTTTCTGTGCCACCCCTTTATTCAATTTAACATTGCATTGGTGCTTAATAGTGAAAATACTCGTTATTAGCGGATGAACATCTATATGAAAGAATTAACAATAGCTGAAATTTCATTGGAAATTAAAGAAAGTTATTCTATTAATCTATTTCCTGTTTAATAGCTCACCGGACTTATCGACCGACCGTTTCCTGTTTTTTTTCTTTTCAGAAAATACTACCCCCACCCTCCTCTGATGACCCCAGTTTTCACCCTACCCTCTCAAATATCTATTTTCACCGGTTATTTTCCACACTCACAACACCGTGTACCCCAAATGTAATAGAAACATGGACCCACCCTTATGAAACTACACCACAGCACTTAACAAAGTACTGTTGGGTGGGGTCAATCTTCCTCATGGGGTGCATCATGGGAGAAGTAGGGGGTAAAACATCTCAAAATAGGGGGTGGGGTAGTGACAATGAGGTTGATGGAGACTGTACGGGAGATCCAGGAGACTCTTTATAATAGTTGTAGCATGCTTATAACAATTTAAAAGGGTCTCAACCGACGCGGTGATTGTACGAGGATACCGGTCATCCTCTGGGCCTCCAGCCGTACCAGGGTCGGTCGCACTTGCCGGGCCCGGGCCGGGATGCCCCGGGCCCGGGCCGGGGAATTTAGAGTGACGAGATGCTCGTTTGGAAAGTGCATGGCAGGCAGAGCAGGGGGCGGGTAGCGAGGAGAGCGTGAAGGAAGGGAAGGAGAATGACGGAATGTAAGGGGAGAGAGGACGAAAACTGATGGCGATGAGAATGGTAGGGGGTAGAACGCAAAAAGTGCCTTTTAGGCCGAGGTTATTACGTTTCAAGTTATGCAATAAGAAGAGGATACGTTGTAAGGGCCAAAGGAGTGGAAGCGGGAGACAAGAATAAGCTCAAGAGCATTGTCAAGAGCATGAAAAAAGCAAGGATAAGAATGTCGCTCTGGGCAAGGGCAAAGACCAGAGCAAGTAAAAGTGCATGAGCAAGTGCAAGTGCATGAGCAGCCAGGTTGTGGTGTCTTCGTAACGTATCACTACCAGGGTCTCGTCACCCTCCTGCATGAAAGATGGGATTCAGGAGGAGGCAGCTGCATAAGAGGCTGCAGACAGGAGAGGAGGAGAACTTTTATGACGATGGATTCCAGCAGGTGAGGTCTTACATCAGTGACGTGAATAACTGTGAGTGTAGGCGGAGGAAGGAGCGAGCAGGAGGGAGAAGAAAGGCCTGCATGTCAGACATTCCTCTCGATCCGCCATAGACTGGCTGGTGATACATCACTTGTGGGATTTGCGGGTGGTGACTGACGAAGGGGTTGTATTAGATCCCGTCAGTGGCGTTCTTTGCTCTACTGCTCGTGTTTCTGTTCCTTTGCATTCGCACGTTCCTCCGTGACTTCTGGTAGCCTCCTTCATCCCTGCCTCTGCCCTCATCCTCTTCTCTAGTGTCAAGGTAGCTGCCTTTACTCTTCTGCTTCAATCCATAAAACACTGCTGCTGTCCACCGTCTCTAGGTACTCTCGAGCGAAGCAGTTCGAACGGTGTGCGCAGGTCTGCCTGCTGGAGGGAGGGCAAGCCAGCCTCAGGTCAGCAGCTTCTTCTTCAAGTCATCGTCTGCAGCTCCGCAAGTCAGAGTCCTCTCCTCTGAAGTCCTCAGCTCACCGCTAACAAAGAATAACGATCCTTTCTGCCTTCCGGAGCAGATCAGCACACCCGAGGATGAGTCGACCTGTGTTGGGAGGGGGAGGAAAAAGGAAAGAAAGACAGAAAGAGAAACCGAGGGAGAAAGAGGGGAGGAGCAAGGAGTGGGAGAGAGGGAAAAGGGAAGTTAGCGTCAGTTAGTTGGAACACTTCACACAACAACACCGTGACGAAAACATTCTCGTCACCAACCCAATATGAAAATGTAGACTTTTGTCCACACCATCATCATCATCATCATCATCATCATCATCATCATTCACATAACAATACCAGCACTTGAGGACTCACCACGGCTGAGGAGATGGGGATGGTCGGCGTGGTTGAGATGATGAAGAGGCAGGATGCCTCAGGCAACTTGCCCGGCACGATCTTGGGCATCTCCCACACTCGGATGGTAGTATCCTCCGATGCAGAGATCACCTAGTGAAACGTATGAGGGAGAGAAGAGCAAGGAAAGCTAACAAAGATTTCGCGAGCGAGGAGCGGAAGAAGTGAGGAAGGTCGAGCTGGCATCTGCGGGAATACAGGACGAGGGCAAGGAGACGGAGGTACAGTGGGAGAGGAACGAAGGAAGCAAGAGGGGTGCAGACGACGGACAAGGATTGTGATTGCGATGGGCAAGATAGAGAGGAGAAGACAGAAATGCATTCTTACCTTAGTCTCAGCTGGATTGAGAGCCACTGAGTGAACGGCTCCTTCATGCCCCTTGGAAAGCAGATTAGGAAGCAGATCAAGTCAAGGAGAAGGAACAAAAAGAAGACGAGGGAGGGCGAGACCGAAGGCGAGTCTCCGGAGAGCATCTTACCTCGAAGACGTGCAGGGAGCTGTCCCAGTCGAAGAGGACGGTGCCATCATCCCGCTCAATCCGGTAGACCTGACGATCGAGAAAACGTGAGCGTATGAGCTTAGGAGGAGGAGGTTTCAGTGGGTTGAGTCAGGTGGATCAGGAGGAGAGAGGAGTGAGGAGAGAGGGAGTACACTCCTCGTCTTGCTTACCGGGTTTCGCATCCTCTCGCTGAACGAGCACAACGTCCTCTTGATCCTCTTCGCCGGGATGTGACGCACATCTGAGAAGCTGTCAGGACAGCAGAGCCTCATCCAAGAGCAGGTACCGCATTGCTGGCGGAAGAAGAAGCCTGTCTCGGAGAACCTGATCTTCAATTTGATGATCTACATGTGTGGCGTTACGAATGTTCTGTCGCACCGCAACAACAAGGCATCCTCACCTCGTCTGTCTCAAGCTCCATGCTATCTTCCGTCTCCCCGGGCGTCATTTCATCCTCGATCGAGAGGATGGAGTAGCCTGCTCCAACGGGATCAACATAGCGCACAGAGCCCTGCACGAGCAGAGCACCGGCTGTTCCTTCAGCGAAGCGATCGTCAAGCACCATGTCGGTATTGACAGTATTCTAAACAGAGAGGGTGAGAAAAATAACGTCTCCTCCTCTTTGTCCCTCCGGTCCTCTTCTACCTGCCCATCCCAGAATCGGATGGTCCCGTCATCGCCGCAAGAGATCAGAGTGGCTGATTTGGATGCCCAAATCACGGAGTTGACAGACCTGCCGAAGTCTCAGCGGCATAGCTTCAAGGCAGTGGCAAAAACAGGACGGAAGAGACAACAGACGACGGGCTATCGACTCTGACCAACGAGCTCAGAGGTTTCTTACCCTTGATGCCCCTTGAGGGTGCGCAGCCAACCGCTTGACGTGTAGACGATCTCTCCGTTGTCCACGTTGACGTATTGAAACCTTGATTAGTTGTCAGACAATCTAACAAGCAGCCAATCAAGTCTCAAGACACCGCGCTTCCAATTGTCTTCCCCACCCATCATAGTCCTGCAGCTTGCAGAGCCTCATTGGAGCGGAGAACTCCTACCATCACATGTCATTCCTTGCACCTTCAGCAGCCGGATCCTACGTCTCTCTCCCATCGGAACCTCTGCTCCGAACCATCCGTGATAAGTTCATCCTGCCCAACATCAAGGGAGGTTCGAGAGAGGACAGCAGCGCGGATTCATCCTACCTCCATGTGAAGGTGGGAAATATGCCGCAATGCAGGTATGTGCATCTTGGAGCGGTTCTGAGCGTTAGCACTGATGTCGACAGAGATCAGATCCGGCAGCATGACGGTGCAGGCATCACAAGCACCTGAATCCCATGTCCACCAGCGGCTCGCCGTTCTCAACATCCCACACCCTGATGGTCCCATCCATGCTTGAAGAAACCAGCGACCTAGTTACCAGTGTGTCAGGCGATCCGAGAGCAACAAGGCACAGATCATACTTGTCATCGGCAGAGAACTGCACCGAGGTGACAAACGCCCAGTGTCCCGTCAAGACGCACTTCTCCCGGACCCACTTCTTCCCGTCGTCCATCACCTTGAGCTGGCTGACGCGAATGATCGGCTTGTCTCCCCCGCCCGATGCCAGCATGAGAGGGTTCTGATTCGCCCATGTCACGCAGGTGACAAACGAGTCGTGCGCAGAGGTCGAGGCAATCTCCTTGAACCCAGAGCATTCAAAGAGCCTTAGGTACTTGTCCTGAGAGCCGGTTGCCAGCATCGTCCCATTGCAGTTGAAAGCAACCCCACACATCGGGAGGCGGCTCGGAGTCCCCAGAGTCCGAATGAACGCTCCTGAATGAGCGTTGAACATGTTCACCTCTCCGCTCTTGCACGCCGTCACCAGCTGGTTCGACCCAGGGTAGATCGACACCTTGGTGATGGGCATCTCGTGGCCCTCAACACACCTCACGTTGATGGTCGAGCTTGCACTCTTGACACAGTCGTACAGCGCCCACATGCCGTCATTGACCTTGTGTGAGAACTGAGCGAACGGAGGAGGGTCGAAAGTTGGAGCGCTCTCTGCTCCCTTGCTGTCTCCCTTCTCCTCGGTGAGGCTCTCGAGCCCTTGCAAAAGTTCTTTCGGGGTTGTCTTCTCGCTCTCCCTCCTGATGAGCTCCGCCATCCCCTCGGTAGACAGAGACTTGGAGAAGATAGGATCCTGCCGCTGGGAGAGCTTCTTCGGATGGAATGACCCTACGCTGCTGCTGTTGCTAGACGAGTCCGATGGCGTCCTTTGTGCCGAGCCGTGCTGTTTGCTCTTGTCCGAGAAATCCAAGCTCCGAGGAGCCTCGACAGCAGAGTTCTGACTCATATCCTCCTCTGACCCGCTCCCAGCCTGGCTCGACTTTCTCTTCTCCCCCTGGTCCTTGGCTTTGAGCTTACTAGATTTCACCCCCATACTGCTATCAATTCCTGAACAACAGCAACGGCCCGGGACTTTGACGGGTGGTCACGATCGATCGCCCCCAAGAGTGCTGCACCAAGAAACAAGAAAGCTTGATCCCGAGGAAGAAGAAATGCCACGTAGTGCTTTCACAAGCAAATGATCATCTCATGTAGCTCCTTCAGTGAAGAAGTCAGTCCAAGAGAGTGTAAATAGCAAGCTTCGTTCAAACATACAAACTCTATCTCACTTGCAACTACAACATACTGGTACGATTTTCCATATACCCATCAGTGCGAGGATTGTAAGAAAATGTCAACAGGCATTCACTTTGCTCATCATATTCCCGCGCCTATAAAAGATCGCACATCGCATGTTACAGCAAAGCACGGCATTAGAGGCTGCAACTCAGCAAGAATATCACGTACGATTCTACTTTTCTCAACAAGATAATCTTGCTCTCATCTTTCAGATAGGATGTGTGCTATTAAGCACGCACGACTCTGCGAAGGAAGTACATCTCTACAACTCCGCTTCAAGGAAACACAGCTTCCAATCGCATGAACTGACATCTTCCCGCCTGTCCATCTTACACATCATTGCAATCGTCTACCTCTCCTTCCGGTCAACAAGCGCCCTTCACCTGTCCTGTCCTTCTCCAGCCGCTGACCCTTCCTTCCTATCAACCCTGCCGACATCACATCGCGTTGATCCCTCATCCCCACACATTTCGCGGCAATATTAACTAAAACGACAGCGAAAATGCTTTTTCTGGTACTATATTTACAATAGTTAAAACTTTTACTACCATGTCGACTTATACGCATTTCCACTGGTAGCTTAAAGTTTCCGCAAGTTGTACGAACTCATCAAGAGACAATAACTTTAAAAGTATGTTTGTACCAGATCAATGCCAGGTACATAAGTTGAGTAAAGAACTTTGCAGGGTTGCCTGCGTGAACGCACTGTTCCGTATGGCAACCCCACTTCTTGAACCTTTTTATCAAATTTCCTTTTGACCTTCACATATTTTATATGTATAAATTTGAAAATTAATAAGACATTTTGAAGATATTGTCCCAAGTTTGATGTTTACCCCTCAGGTAGACCAACCTTGTCAAAACGTCCACATATTGCAACGATTCGAAGCGACGCTGACATGGACACGGACTTTTAAAACTATGATCTATAAAATTGTTTTACAAGACGGTTATATCGCAGCGTTGTTGCAACCGTAGCCTTCAGCAACGGTCCTTGCGTCTTTGAAACCGATCACGAGTCACTATGTAACGGTTTTAACGTTCTGAAACTTGTGGCGGCCACGACAGTATGGCGGGAATTGTGGTAGGTTGAGGGGAGAGAAGGAGAAAAGTGAAGCAGAGAGCGAAGGAGACAGCAAGGAGAGGCAAGAAAATCATTTCAAGACAGAGCAGGATGCAAACAATGTCGTCGAGAAATGTGCAACATGGCGGATAAGCAAGGACTGCAGACAAGGTGATGGCGGTAATAGCGTGTTTCACGGTTCCCCTGCGGTAGAGGGATTGGCTCATCGCTCAATTGGCATCGTACCATCGTGCTGCTATCTTGTCAAATTTCTCCCCGGACAGGATAAGTTCTTAAATTGACTACAAGAAGATGAAGCAGCCAAATACGAGGATCTCGCCCCGTCGTCTCCTTCTCTTCTTCGCAATACTTCAATTGCAGGGGTTTTGCTTCTGTCAGCTAGGTACCTGCTGCTTGTCAGCCTGTCGTTTGTCCTCTCCTGTGTGACAAGCGTGCGCAGGAAGTGATGGTTTCCCCATCAAGCTAGAAGAGACCCCTCCCGGCTTCGGGTTCCATGACGGACTGAAGCTCGCGCCTGACATGGAGGAGGAGCAGTATGATCCCCTTCCCAAGTTGAGCTCCTTGCAAGGTGGGTCGCTTGACATAGCAGCATCCGCTTCACCCACTTGACGCTGAATTGATAGAGGACATGCGAGCCCCGCCAACCCTTCAGGACTCACCCGCAAGCTCGTTTCTTGACCGAAGATCGGATCCCCGAAGTCAGTTTGGGAGCCAAGGAGAGGGAATTGAGGACATGTCCTCGTTTTTCAAGCAGCGAGACTCGTCCCCTGGCAGCTTCTCCATGCCGGACAACGACTTCACCCCCTCGGGTCTCGCGCCTGACCCTGAGCCAGCCGTTGGAGGTGGACAATGTTACTTTTTCACGATCCCCCCTCACGACTATCTAGGCAAGATGAAAGGGATTCCTGCAGATGATTCGTCGCTGGCAAAGGAAGTAAGCATGCTGTCGCCCCGTCTTGTAGTTCTCTAGCCATCTTCTCCTCTGCTCCTCTTGGCGACTCTCCTGCTGCTGTATCTGATGATCACTTGTCAGACAACCAGTCGCAGCAAGAAAGACGCTGCTGCCTTCCAAAAGCGAGGTGGGAATGAGAGGAGAGCGAATCAGTCGTTTGAATCCGTCCCGGCTGGCAAGGTGAGATGAGGGGTTTCTCCTGGTGCAATGATGAGCGGAGGTTTCCTGTTTGAGCCCTTCACCTCATTTGAATGTGCATGTATCCTGGATAGCAAGTTGACTCTGTTTGTGATGGGATTGTTTTTCATTGCAGAGGAAAACCAAAGATGCATCGCGTGACAGAGAAACGAAGAAGGTCCTTCCTTGTCTTGCTTTTGATTTTGAACATGACTTGCTGCCAGACATCGCTGGACGACCTTGATTTCCTGACAAGCGCTCTGCCCGAGGATGTACCGGCAGAGCAGGAGAAGGTGTCGACGCTCCATGGGGCTAACGTTTCTTTTGATCCTTCACGCAGCAGGCACAAGCTGGGGAACAGTCGAGCTGGTGGTCAAACCTATTTGGGTCCTCCTCCGCTTCCTCCTCCTCCGCTTCCTCCAAGACGGAAGTGAAAGACCGCAAGGTCTTGAACGCTTGTTTTGCATGGTCAAACTTTCTCACGAGCTGCGGGCCAGCAGGCAGGCAAGCAAGAGAGTCAGAGGCCGGCGGCTGAGAAGCCGAAGGCCGAGGGGCAGGAGAGGAAGGGGAAGGAGCAGGAGGCGACCAACGAGGTCAAGAAGAGCCAGCAAATGTCTGACGATGCTATCGCCGAGATGTACAAGAGGTTGTCTGCAGCTGCAAAGGATCCAGCACCTGCCTCGCCCTCTCCATCAGCATCAGCATCGTCAACAACAACATCAGCCTCTTCCCCTTCCCCGCCCCCATCCCCCTCGTCTCCCGCAACGTCAAGAAAGCAGAAAACAGTCCCGAACGCGCCTCCTGCACCTCCAGGCTCTCCTGTAGAGGATCCTCTCGCTGCTGCGGGTAGCTTGCACGGGTATCCGCATGAAGCTGCTGCTGTGGAGAGTGACTGCTGCGAGCAGGCAAGAGACGGGAAGGGGAGCAGCTGGCAAAGAGGCTGAGATCTCTCAAGGTAGATTCCTCCTGATAGCATACGCTTCCCTCAACCTCTTGTTCGCCCTTTCCCCGTACTCCTTCCTGCCTACCTCTCGACCGCTCTTGCTCCCTCCACATTGACCCCTTGTGCAGAAGAACGGTTTTGCAAGGAGATTGCAGGGCCGTACGCGATGTTCGACAAGAAGGAAGGTATCGGCTCGTAGCCGCTGCGTCGGTGTGCTGACGCCTTCTCAGGGGCATGTAGGTGCCAAGACGGCTACGAGGAGGACGAGAGGGGGAAGTGCGTAAGACAGAAAAAGGCCGACAAAAGGATGAAGGAGGGAGGAAAGGCCTCAGCTGGGGTTCCAGCAGGAGGCCCAGCTCCGGGTGCAGGAGGAAAGGGGGGAGGAGATCCTCTCGAGTTCCCCGTGAGGTCCGGTCGGAAGAAGCAGGCGACTGGTATAGCCGAGGAGGAGGAGGAAGAGGAGGAACTCCTGACGGGCTGCACAGCAGAGGAGGAGACCCTTGTGAAGTCGGAGGCGCCCAGTGACCTTTACCTCAACTTTGACACGCAGACGTCAAGAGATCCAACGTAAGATCGATACTCATCATCGCATTTACCACCATCATCTCACTCCTTTTCACCCTCTCAATCCTGTTCCAGCTTCTTTCTAGTCCTTGGCATTGTCCTTGACTTGTTTGTTCATGCTTCTAGTCATCGTTTGTTCAGTTTCTACCCCCATCATCACACCCTCTGTTCCTTCCTATTCTTTCTTGACGGCTGTCTGCAGACTGCAGCATTCTCGAAGACGTAACCTCTCCTCGTCTCCCCCTCCACCAGCTTGTTGAGTTTTTGTGATTTTGCAGCTGAGGAAGGAAAATCTAGTGGGGAAAGGAAGAGAAGGCCGAGGCCTCCCAATCAGGTTCCGAGGGTACATGATGAATGCTAAGGACTCAAACTTACAGCAGGAGAGCGTCGCTCCTCCCAAGTCAGGAAGGAAAAGGATTCCTGCGCCCCCTCCTCTGGTGCGGACAATCATCTTCCATCCCCGTCCCAACAACTTGTGTCTACTGTATTTCTCTTTCCCGTTAGCTACACGAACAAACGATACTTTCTTCCTTCTTCCTCCTCCTATTCCTCCTCCTCCTCTTCTTCCTCCTCCCCTTCCCCTCTCCATCCTTTTCCTCCTCTTACTCTCCCAACAACACCACAGTTTGCTCTCGTTGTTCGTGTCTTAATCTTGTTCCTTCTCTGCTCCCCCTCGCTCTCGTTGCCTCACCTGACATCACTGCAGGGCAATCAGAGTGGAAAACGCTCCCAGGCTCTGCTCCCGCCAGCTAACGAAGACTTCGGGCAGGTGGGAACTTGTTTGCGGGATCGTGTCAAGTTTGACACCTTGGGCAGCTGGTAACGAGGTACGGTTCGGCTGTAATGGGGCGCATCACCAAGGTTTTTCTTCGTGCTCGTAGCGCAGCTGGGAAGGTGCTAAGGTTGGGATGGCAGTGGGTCGCCGTTTGGAAGATGCGGATGGGGAATTTCGTGCGGGGGATCGGTGAGCTAGGGAGAGAAGAATGAGACGGCTGACGTGTTTTTACAGAGATGAAGAATGAGTTGATTGTTCATCAAGGAAGGTGAGCGGGAGAGATTGTAAGGGGGTCATAGGACGAGGATGAGGACGAAGGAGCAGGAGCAGGAGCAAGGAGCAGGGAGAGAGGGTGAAGTTGGGAGAAAATGTTGATGTAGGCAGTACAGTAGCAGGGTGAGGGGCGGAAGGAGCAGGAAATGGAACCGATGGCTTGAGAGGGGATGACAAGATTTCTGTGCAGTGCAAAAGTCAGCGACGAACTTTACTGGGATGTGGATGGGAGAGACGCGGAGGTCAGGAGAAGATTCAGACGCTTCAGGTTGATAACGCTGACGCAGTCGGTGGAGAGATATTGGCGGCAGAAAGGAAGAGCTGAGGCCGAAGAATGCATGAAAATGCACGCAAAGACCCAGGTAACGTTGAGGAGGACATGAAGTGGGAAAGGGAGGAGAGAACAGAAGAGAGAGGGAGGATCATGAAGGAGAAGCGACAAGAGTTGTGTGAAAAATGTGGAAAGTTTATGAAAGTGATGATGATGATGATGAGATGATGATGATGATGATGATGACGACGACGACGACGACGATGATAGAGATGGCAATGGCGATGACGGTAACAATGATGAACTTCTTATTTGTTGCACTGCAGGAGAAACTGTTGGACTCACACGAAGGTGATAATTCTTTATCGATGACAACTGACTTGTTGCGGGGTTTCGTTGCTCACCATCTCAACGAATTCCCGTACGTCTTTTCTGATTTACCTCTAACAGAAATCAAGTCGCTCAAGAATGCAGTGACTGCACTGAACTCGACCCTTCTTGAAGCTCAGGTACCTCCCTACACACCTGCGTCCCTCCATTTTGTTTTCCATGCTCGTTACCCGTTCTTCCCCTTTTGTTTTCTTCTCCTCCCCCTCCTCCTCCTTCCCTTCCATTTTTCGTCCTCCAAGCGCCTCATGTCAGGACTTCATCGAGAGCCTCACGAACGAACGAAATCTCCTGAAGAGCCAAAGATCAAAGCTTGGAGAAGTACGAATTTTTGTTTCGATGATGACCATGATCGTGATATCATGATCATGATGATGATCATGATGATAATGCGGAGGAAGGAGTCAGGGAATTTCATCACTTAACAATATGCAGATCCTTGAAAACTGCAGCAAAACCCAAAAGGTGATCTTGATGTATTGAGTTTGATAGTGCTGAGATGGATTTTAAGGAACTCATCTACACGAGAGAGGAGAAGGAGAAAGTGGAACTGGCGCTGCAGGAGGCCAGGGAGAGTAAGGTGAAAGAAATGAATCTCCTCCCTTCGACATGTCTGACTGCTGCTGCTCCGTCTGCTGCTGCTCAGGTCAAGGTTAACTCGAAGCTGCTGGAGGTAGTCGACGAGAAAGTTGAGCTGGAGAGGTCGAGCAAACTGACTTCTGTTGAGTCACGCTGACATGCGTCATGTGTAGGATGTACGAGCAGCAAGTTCTGCTAAGCTACGACCTCAAGAAGAACGTACATGTCCTGAAGCAACAACTGTCCTCCAACACATCGCGGGTCTGGATTTCTTGACCTCCTCGCCCTCCCCCTGAGCGCCTCTGCTGCAGATCGCCGAGCTGGAGGGGCTGGTGAAGTCACTGCAAGAGAGACAGCAAGAGGACAAGAAGGCGGCAAGCCAGGAGGAGGAGCAGAGCAAGTGGGAGGAACCTTGGTTTCAGCTTCCCTCCTTACACTCTGCCAGGAGGGCAGTGGATGACCAGGATGCCAAGTTGCTGGAGGATCTAAGGAGAAAGGAGGAAGAGATTTCTGAGGTCCCTGACCAGCTTCTGCTTTTACGCTCGCCATGACTAGCAAGTGCAGCTGAAGAACGAGATTAAGAGCATGCAGGAGCAGCTTTCCAAACAGGTTGCTCTCCTGACCCTTCTTGGCTATCCTCTTCCCACCCCGCTCCTCCTCCTCCTCCTTCTCTTCCTGCTCCTCCTCCCCTCTCCTGTCCTGTCCTCGTCTCTCCTCTCTTCTCCTGTCCTGTCCTGTCCTCTCCTGTCCTGTCCTCGCCTCTCCTCTTTCTCCCTCTCCTCCTGTTCTTTCACTTTGTCGTTTGTTCTTCGTCACTCTGCTCCCCTTACACTTTCTTCATCGCCATTACTCACTAGTGCCTTCAGCTCTCCACAGCGCAACCGCAAAAGACGGAGGAGCAGCAGCAAGACTCTTCCTCATTCTGCTGCTCGCAGGTGAGGCAAGCGAGGGGAAGTCACTCGGCTGATGTGATGTGACAGACTTGCAATGCTGAATGTTGAAGAATAAAAGCTGAAGAATTAATTTCATCTTATGCATTGAATTATCATTCCAATGAATACAACCCTTCCTGCCCCGCCCTCTCCTCCTCCCCTCCTTCCTGCTCTCCCTTCTTCATTACCTTCGCTGGTACAGCTTAATTCCTGATTATTCTCCTCCTCCCTCCTCTCTCGCTCGATCGTCGGGCGGCTCCGCTCTTCTCAGAGTTCTTCGTACGTGCTGTAGAGCCTCTGCGGTGCGTCCTCGGGGATCAGCTCCAGGTGGGGGAACTTGTAGAGGTCAGGGCTGCGCCGGTGGGGGATCACCCGAGCTTCGATCTTGTGCAGGACTTCCTGCTTCTCCCTCGGGTGGTAGAAGTCGGAGGAGGAGGAGGAGGAGGACGACGACGACGACAGGCTAGCAGCGGCTGACTGTGAGCTTTCTTGCAGTGAGGAGTGGGAGGAGCGCTCCTCGAACGCATTCATGCTCTTCAGCTGGCTCATCGCCTTCCTTGCGTTCATCTCCCTTTCAGTCGTCGTTACGTACTTCACGCTTCTTCCACCATGCACGCTCTGCTGCGTCCTCTCCTCCCTCACGTTGGAGATCCTCCCAGCCTGATCAGGCTGTCAGTTGGCCCCAATACTCTCACCCTGCCTCCTGCCTCCTGCCTCCTGCCTCCCTTCTCCGCTTCCCTTACCCTTCCCTTACACGTCCCTCGACTGCTTACCAACACGCCTCTATTCTCCTCCTCTCTTGTTCTCGCTTCTCGCTTCCTCTCCTCGCATCATCGTAGTCTCTCCTCGCGCATCCTTCCATCCTCATCCCTCTATTCTCCTTCCTCCTCAACTCCCTCCTACCCCTACTTCCGCTTCGCTCTCATCGCTCTCCTCTACTCAATGCTGCCCACCGCCTTCCCCCGCCTCTCCCCCTCAATCGAACGGGCAGTCTTACCGCCACCATGGTGTCTGACACCGTCTGCAGCGGCATCCAGAGGGGATTGACTTTGTTGCTTCCCACAGACGAGTGCGCTGGTTGGACTAGCGCACAGCAAGGTCAGCCTCTCCTCCCCCCCTCCCGCTGCCTCCTCATTAACTTGCCCTCCTCTCTCTCCCCCTACTCTTTACCTCCTCCCTGCTCTTCTTCCTTCCTCCTGCCTCTCATTCTTACCAGCCATCCTCGTCTGCTGGTTGCGCGCCCTCCACTCCTCCTCCATCTTCCTGCCATTCTCAAACATCAGCAAGAGCACAGCAACCCAGGAACTGTAGAGAGGCGAGGAGGGAGGAGGCTGACCTTGCTTCCTCCTTCCTCCTCGTCCTCTCCCTGTTCTGCCGCCTCATCTCCACCTCCTCCTCCCTGTCGTCGGCGCTGCATGCCTGGCCCATCGCTGTTACAGGCTTTTACGCTTTCGGTACCTCCTAAATGGAGTGACAGGCTCGAGGGAACACATAAACACATCGAGTCCGCCTCAGAATCTGACTAAAAATGCCTCAAGGGCAGAAACGACACTAATCTGTTGGAGTCCTCATGGCGCAGTGCCGGCCCGGCCCGAGATCGGGGCCCGGGCCGCCCGGCCGCCGGTGACTGCGGCCCGGCTATGATAGTCAGAGCCCGCAGGCCGGGGGCTACAGGCGCGGGCCCGGGGGGTCTGCGATAGATTGACACTGAGAAGTGAAAGACTCTGAGAAGACAGACGGACGGTGAAGTATGAAGAGATTGATTTGCACAACTTGAATTTACAATTTCACCGTATGGTAACCCATCATATCATCGTCATCGTCATCGGATGGTTGGCCCATCATCATCGTCGTCGTCACTGATCATCGTCGTTATCATCCTCCGAGGCACTCTCTCAGGCTCCTGCTCTACATCCCGTATGCCTGCTCCAATCTCCGATCGGGCTGCCATTCTACCTCTCACAAGGATGGGTGACATTTACTTCTTGTTCTTCTTTCCTCCTCCAAACTTTGAGTTCCCCTTGAACCTGCGAGGCATCCAGTGAGAAACAAAGAGAAAAACGAAAAGAGATGCTGATGAAAACAGATTAGTATAACAATGATTGACGTTGCAAAGGAGAGCAGAAGACGTTGTTGTTGTTGTTGGTGGTGGTGGTGGTGGTGGTGGTGGTGGTGACGATGATGATGAAAGAGATCAAGATGAAGAAGATGGTGGCCATGATGCATAAGGTGCCCGTGTGAGGTGTGTGGTAAAGTCAGAGGTGCGGATGGAGATGATTGAGTGCTGATTACCCTCCAGGGAGATTCTTCTGTGTTTTGTTGAAGCTCTTCTTCTTGTGGTGTTTCACAGCACTCACGAGCTCCGATACATCCTTCTCATCATCCTCGTCCTCTCCTCGACTTCTCTTCCCGTTCTGCAAGACGCGTCAAAGAAGCACAGCAGGGGCAGGAGCAGAGGCAGGATGAGCAGCAGAAGCAATAGCGGCAGCAGCGGGAGAGAGAAGGAGAGGAGGAAGTTGTGGAGGAGGAGGAGAAGGAGAAGGAAGAGAAGCAGAAGATATGACGGGGAAGGGGACGAGGACGGGGACGAGGACGGGGACGAGGACGGGGACGAGGACGGGGACGAGGACGGGGACGGGGACGGGGACGGGGACGGGGACGGGGACGGGGACGGGGACGGGGACGGGGACCTTTCGCAGCGCCTCCTCCTTCAATGTCTGGGTTGCAACTCTTTGTGCTTCAGCCACCCGATCTGAAAGCTGCAGGACAATCTCCTCCTCGCTCGGAAACAATACCATCTTCTTGCCTATCAGCTCCTCTGCCGGAACGTGTCAGCTCTGCTCGCATGCTTGCCTTCTCGCTCTCCAAACATTCCTGATTACTTGCTTCATCACCACATCATAATATATTCATCATTATCATAATAATAATCGTCGTCATCGTTGTTGTTGTTGTCGTCGTCGTCGTCATCATCATCATCATCATCATCATCATCATCATCATCATCATCAGCAGCAGCAGCAGCAGCAACAACAACAGCAGCAGCAACGCAATCATCATCATCATCATCACCACCACCACCACCACTATAGCATCTCTCTTCTCTCATCTCTTCTTTCTCCTCTCACCGATCCTCTGGAAGAGCTCAACATCGTACTGCGTGACCATGGTGACCGACTGCCCTGACCGCCCAGCTCGAGCGGTACGACCAACTCTGAGCAGAATGTGAGGAGAAGAAAGGAAAGAGGAGAGAGGAGAGCAGTGCAGGACAAGGAAGGGAACAACAGGAAGAAAGAGGGAGAGGAGGGGAATACGAAGGAGGAGGAGGAGGAGGAGGAGGAGGAGGAGGAGGAGGAGGGAGGGAGGGGGAGGGAGGGGAGGGAAGGAGGGCGGGAGGAGGAGGAGGAGGGAGGCGGGGGAGGACGGAGGAGGAGGAGG